TTTTTATACAACTTAGAATGGCAAACAAGCTGACGGCCCACCTGATGGAAAGTGGTAACCGTCGCCTATAGACATGAGCAGTGCCATGCACATAACAGAGTATACTGTTTCGCCCATGATACCCCCCATGCGTTGCCATATTTAAGCCTTCAAAAATCAAATGCCGACTTTTGTATTTTTAAAAAAATTCTACATGCTCATGATTGAATTTTGACAAAACGACTACAAAATCACGCCGCAGGCTTTACGTTGTTCAAATGGAATAAATTTTTCCAAAAGGGAAAAACCTTAAAGGGCTCTCAGGTAAGAAAGAACTACCCATCAACCGGGCATGAAGCTCACGAGACGAATGTTAACATTACTGTTGCCGTCGGCTAAAACGCCAAGGGAGCGGCAAAGGGCTAAATTCACTGGAAGAACTTCAATTTAAGATTTCATTTAACGACTAGGCGTGGGTATAATGAATACCCATCCGATATCTACTAATATATTTTTTTTTATACAACTTAGAATGGCAAATAAGCTGACGGCGCACCTGATGGAAAGTGGTAACCGTCGCCTATAGACATGCGCAGTGCCATAGACATAACAGAGTATACTGTTTCGCCCATGATACCCCCCATGCATTGCCATTCCTGAGGACTCAGGTGTTATTCCTCTGTACCCTGTAAATTCACGCCATATCCCACCCTTCAAACCGAAACACAGCCATGCAAACACAACTGCTTCACGGTTGAAACACGAATGGGACAGAGGTACTCAAGCAATCGACTTTTTTCGATAAGCACACTCGTTTGTCGATTCCATTACAACTCTATATCCGTGTGGGCTGTTTAAAATTCAAGATACGACGCTCGTGATGGATCGGGAGTGTACAGGAGAACCAATACGAGCCTAATATTGTTAGGGGAGTTGTCAATACGTATTATTTGCATATTTATTTATTTATTAAACTTTAATGTACCTATATAATGTAAATGGCGGACTTAACACCATAATATTGCATATGTTAGTAATTTTTTTTATTGGATGAAAATGGAATGGTAACCCCGCCTGCGCTAACGGGATACGCTGGCGGGGCACCAGTGAAGGGTGATAGATGAGAATGAAAACAGGCCAGTTAGCCCATCATGATGAATTCATCAGTGTCAATCATGATAGTTTTCAGGGGGAACCGTGAGGAGGTCGACCTGGTTGGGTATATTGCTAGCAATAGGATTCTCAGTCTCCATTGCTAACAATCCCTTTCCCCCTCATATGTTAGCAATTTAGATTATATAGATAGAGTGTTTTTTTTACAACACAGAGAGCAAACGAGCATGCGGCTCACTTGATGGTAAGTCACTTACCGCCGCCCATGATCACCCACAACACCAACGGCATTGCAGGTGTGCTGCCGGCCTTTTAAAAAGGAATATGCTCTTTTCTTGAAGGTTATGTTGTCGTATCGGTTCGGAAATACTGCAGCTGGAAGGCTACTTCTATGTCTCCATAGAAAAGCTTCGAGAGAAACGGATCGACTTGTTCATACAATTTTGCGTGATAAATAGTTATGTGTGATTTCTTTATTACTTCTATATTTAATTTTTTTCTTATAAATTCTACGTCTTTTTAATGCGTAAACGTTCATTTATATGCGTAAGCATTCATGTTTATTAAATAAATACGTCAAGGTACATTTTATGCGTAATTATTTTTTTATTTTTTGAATTTTTTAATTGAATTCACTTATAATCGTATTTACTGATATTGCTCACAACTCAGGTTACATGTATATTTCTATAACTAATAACGCAACTTTGAAAATATTTGTAGTCTAGTGTTATTTAATTCATTATAATTGTTACTTCATTGTCTCGCACTGTATAATTATGTTAAAGCAAACGCTGTGAATACCTATAATAGGCGTGTGCATTAATATTGTATTATATTTAATGTTTGTTATATGTGTTATAATGCAATATGCTGTTGGTGTTCCTTTAAATAAATAAATAGAACACTGATAAAAAAACGAGTCAGCTAATTTGACAATTAGCTGACAAAAAGTTGACTCGGTTTTGAGGCTCGATACTGTATCTATATAATTTGAGGTTGGTAAGTATATAATGTACACTGGATGGAATTTACCGTGAATTGTTTTTTTTTTTTTAATGAAACATAAAAATGATTATTGCTTAAATTATTTTCTACTAACTTTTACCCGCGGCTTCGCCCACGTAGCCGTGATATGTTTACTGATTACAATAACAAGTACCCTGTATCCTTCTCTATCCCATATAGTACATATATACTAAATTTTATAATGATTAATTTAAAACTAAACTACTCAAATGATTTTGATAAAATCTCTAAAACACAAGTCTATAAGTATATCCTTTCGATTTACAACTGACGAACTTGTGAGATAACGAACTTAAAAAAAAATACAGTCAAATCGAGAATTCCTTTGACGTCAGTTAGCAACTACGCTCTAGTAGCATTACCAGCCACTTTTATATCTTCAATCTGTTTATAATTCACGTAACACCCTGACGGTATACTAAAGTGAACTATGCCCACATAATATCAATGGGGGAACGGAATGGAATTATTAAATTTCTACCCAAGTAACTATCGATTTTGAATGAGCTACGCATTTATACCATACAAATCAGTTTCTTAAACAGATTTTTTTTAATGGGTTTTTTTTTGATGGGTGAAAATGGTATGGTAACTCCGCCTGCGCTAACGGGATACGCTGGCGGTGCACCAGTGAAGGGTGATAGATGAGAATGAAAACAGGCCAGTTAGCCCATCATGATGAATTTATCAGGAATTAACCATGATAGTTTCCAGGGAGAACCGCGAGGAGGTCGACCTGGTTGGGTATATTGCTAGCAATGGGATTCTCAGTTTCCATTACTAACAATCCCTTTCCCCCCTTTTTTAATGGGTGAAAATGGCAATCCCACCTGCGCTATCGGTATACACTGGCGGGGTACCAGTGAGAAGTGATAGGTGAGGAGGAAAAGGTAGGTCAGTTAGCCTATCAACGATAAATTTGTCACGATAGTTTCCAGGGGATACCGCGTAGAGGTCGACCTGATAGGGTGCATTGATAGCAACGAGGACTTATCTCCCCATTACTAATAATCCCTTCCCCCCTTTTAAACAGAATTATAACGTTTTCTTACAAAAAAGTTCAACTTACGATAAACAACTGTTCAATACATGTTTATATGTTTTCCTACTCAAGCTGGATTAATATCTATTAATGTTTAAACAAAAAATCTTATTAAAACTAAAAAGTATTTAAAATAACACCAGAGGGAGACTTTGTACAAAAGTTGTTTGCTTGGTCACCTCTGTCCGTGCTGTGTTTCGGTTTGAAGGGTGGGATCTGGCAGTGAATTTACAGGGTACAGAGGAATAACACCTGAGTCCTCAGGAATGGCAACGCATGGGAGGTATCATGAGCGAAACAGTATACTCTGTTATGTCCGTAGTACTGCTCATGTCTATAGGCGACGGTTACCACTTTCCATCAGATGGGCCGTCAGCTTGTCATTCTATGTTGCATAAATAACATTTCATAAAAATTTTTTACACATAGAATTAGGAAGAAATATTATTACACCGAGTAAACACTATTTAAGATCTTAGACAAAGTTTTATTAAACTGTATTTAAATAAATTCTAAATTATTATATATATAAATGCTTAAAAAAAAAACGGGTCAACTTTTTCATACAATTCTACGTGATAAATAGTTATGAGTGATTCCTTTATAACTTCTATATTTATTTTGTCTTATAATTTGTGCATCTTTTTGCGTTAATACATAAACACTCGTTTTATTTATTAAATAATACGTCAAGATACATTTTATGCGTAAGTATATAGAACATTGATAAAAAAATCAGAGTCAGCTAATTTGACAATTAGCTGACAAAAAGTTGACCCGTTTTTGAGTCTCGATGCTCTATCTATATAATCTAAGGGCTTCATATAGTATATAATAAAAAAAAAAAACATTCACTTGCATTAAAAATGTTTTGTACAGTATGTTACACCAGATAATACTGTAACTATGGATGGTACATGCTCTATATACCTACTAATAATGCTCTTGTAAAAGGTACGAAATGCACATTTCATCTGAGGCCTGTGGTTAGGCGTGTAACATAATCCAGAAAGGCAAGGTTAGCGGCGCGCCCTTGCAAGGTTATATATCCAGACCTAACGTTTTACAATCCGGCTAAACCGGACTTGGGACCGTTAATATTTTAAATCTCTCACTCATTTTATATTCGGATGTCGAGTAACTACTTAGAAATGACAGCAATTATTTTAATATGCATAAAAAAAAAACAATAAGTTAATAAATAATATAGAAGAAAGAAAGAAATATTTTTATTTAAGTAAATTTAGAATTACTTAAAAACAACTTACATGCTAAGTCTCTTATGAATACAGCCAATAACGGATTTTATTTATACAAATAAAAATTATAATTCCAAAGCGAGGCAGTCAAGTTAGAGTGGGTGCATGCAAGTAATATAAACACATGTATGAAAGAAACCATATAGTATATATACATATCTGTCACGCCTGTCTCCCATTAGGGTAGGCAGAAACAATGGAACGCCAAATGCTTCGGTTCAAATAAGCCTCCTTCGCTTCCTCCACATTCATCAATCTCTTCATACACGATCGCCGGTTACGGGTACATTTAATTTGGGCCTTCCTCAGCACGTCGCACGTCGAAAAGGCGTATCTGTAATGGAGATTAGTTAGTAGCCCCGTTAGTAGCTAGTAATATACCCTGTCAGGTCAACCTTTACGTGATTCCCAATAGAAACCATCGTGGTTGCATCATGATGAGCCAACTGACCTGTTTTCTTTCTTTTGTTACTTAGGCCAGCGCGGGTGGATTTACTATTCCATTACTATTTATTTAGAAACAAAAACTACAATTTAATATTTAGGACGGAAATCTAATGAAAGTGTTTTTCTTCCAGCGCGTGCGCTCGTTCACGTCGTCCCTGGACGAGCTCGCGGGCCGCGTGCAGGCGGCCGAGGCGGCGCGGTCGTCGTGGCGCGGGCCGGGCGACGCGAGGGATGCGCGCGCGCAGCTCGACGCCGTGTCCCGCGCGCGCGCCCAGCTGCCGCCCCTCCGGCGGCTGGCGGACGAACTGCACCAACAAGCTCAAACACTTACTAGGGATAAGATACAATTACCAGAACATTTGTTGGCGAGACTGGATGATTTGAATACAAGGTTAGCAATGTGTATTGGCGACCCGCACGTATGTTTAAGTTAAATGAGTTAAGGGCCCACCTGAAAATCAGCGCTATATAGTTACATCTCTCTGGAGGTGTGCATATATAGAAACAGCTGAGGCGGCTCCAGTAACCAGCCAAATGAATTGTTTTTTTTTTTCTTTTTTATTGTTGTTTTTTTAACTATTATTGGTGGTAATAAAGACTCTATTTATCTTAATTCACACACATATAACGTATATACATATAAATCAAGATGATGATATAGCTATGTGTGAGCCATCTCTTTGGGTATTACCACACCTAGGACATTTCATACAGTAACATCAAAATCCATAGCTATTACTGCTACAGTTTGCCTATGTTCAAAGTGATGGAAATATGGACGCTTGCGCAAAGTTCACAATCTGTATCAATAGGATTAGGTTCTCTCTCTCTCTCTTTCCTCTCTCTCTCTCTATAGTTTATTTATTAAATATATCAGTTTTAATATTAAAACTATTGCCTTGCTTTATATCATCACCAAGTTTGGTGTATTTCTTTTTCTTGTGGTCATATTGAGATCTCAGAGAAGAGGTGAGGTCTATTCGAAAGAAAGGCAAGAAGTGCCCTTGCTGTTTGGGGTATCACGTTTACTGTGGCTAGCAAGATAATCGTTTTACCTATTTCTACGGTGAAACTGTTCATAATTGCGTTTTTATCTGAAAAGTTCTTGTGAAACCACGAAAATCAAAGAGAATATTAACTAACTCATAAACATCTATTATATATAGTTAATCAGGTCATGTACCTTACAAGTGGTTTTAAATATCTTACGTTCTATATATTTAGTTAAACTTTACGCATTTAGAGACACAAACGAATGGTTCTCCTATTTCAACTTTCAGAGTGGGAGCCCTCTGCGCAGGCGGCGAGGAGCGCGCGCGACAACTGGCCGGAGTCGCTCGGGACGGCGGCGCGGGCGCAGCGCAAGGCTTCTTAGCTGGATCAGTTGATGCCCCTTGGGAACGAGCCGTAACGCCTGCTAATGTACCGTACTATATCAAGTGAGTGATTTCATCATCAATAACGCCACGACTCTGGACTGTACACTTGATATGAACTCGTCTTCTCGCCATTTCGAAGTTGAAAGGAATACTGATTGTTTATATACCAAATAACAAGGTGGCAAAACAAATAAACGAGACCAGACTTTGTACAAAAGTCGATTGCTTGGGTACCTCTGTCCTATTCGTGTTTCAACCGTAAAGCAGTTGTGTTTGCATGGCTGTGTTTCAGTTTGAAGGGTGGGATATGGCGTGAATTTACTGGGTATAGAGGAATAACACCTGAGTCTTCAGGAATGGCAACGCATGGGGGGTAGGTATCATGGGCGAAATATAAGCCACGGTTACCACTTTCCATCAGGTGGGCCGTCAGCTTATTTGCCACTCTAAGTTGTATAAAAAAAGACGCGATAGTGGATGGATGTAGCTACCAGGGGAGATCTAAACCTCTTACAATCATATAGACCGTGTTCTGTCTTAAGGATTCGTCAGATGTCTCCAAAACTGGCATTCTTACATGAGACGCATTATGAAGGTGTATGAAACAAGATATGTGCCACAGAGGCAAGAAAAGACTTGTTGCAAAAATAATTAGATATAATTCATCCAATATCGTATTATCTGTCGTTTCATATAAATGGCATAACACAGACGCAAAATGAAATATTCGAATATGTTTCGATTATAAAACAAATATTAAAGTTTAATAAAATGTATTTAAATATCACATTTATGATTCACAGCCATGAATCTGAGACTACACACTGGGACCACCCAAAGATGATCGACCTGATGAACTCCCTCGCAGACCTGAACGAGGTCCGTTTCTCAGCCTACAGGACTGCGCTCAAGTTAAGAACCGTACAGAAGGCATTGTGCAGTGAGTACTTATAATTTTATCTTCTTATACCTTTTGGAAGGAAATGGGGAGCAGTCGGACATTATGGATTAATAATAGAATAAAATATTTTTTCTCAAATATGCTTGGAGATGTAAGCATTATTTTGACAATCTTCTTCGAGATAAATCAAAATTGCCGTACTGACCAGATACATGCGGGCAGCGGCCGGCAAAAGTTGTATGAAAATCCAAATCTATCGTGTTTTGCGGCCAGATAAATTACTATGTAAAATCATATCTGTCCTGTAATTTAAAAATGAAACGACCTTTTACTTCGAAACATGGCTACCAAGGATGTAACTAATAAAAGGTTTTATTTAAATTTCGAACTGGTTTGCAAATAGAAAGCTGTTTATTGAAAAAAAAAAAACAAAGGAACATTGAGGCGCGTGAAAAATTATTATTGTTCGTTATTCCTCATTGAACTTAAAAAGTAAAATTGTATTTTTGATTTCCGCGCATTGTTTGAGAAAAGTACTATACAAGCCTTGGCCACAACTAGGCATTGATGGACTCACGTATGTGTGCCTCCGCTACGCCTCGGCCCACATTTGTACATTCGTCCATCAATGCCTCAGTTGCTGGCCGCTGCAGTAATGTACTAATATTGCCATCCTTATCATTATAACCCAAAATAATCTCGCTCACATTTGACCATAGAGTTTCCGTCTCGTGCCTCTTGCATGATTCCAATTCCTGCAATACCTTAAAATTATCCATCTCGTAGAGAGTCCTTATTAATTTATAATGATATAAATTACTAAATAAATAAATAAAATAAATATCCGTAATAAGCATGGAAGTAGCCCTCACTCCTCAAGACTGGCAATGCATGAAGGGCAAAATCGAACTATTGGCATCAAAGTGGCATCTATGGTATGATATGATCTTGTCTATAACTTTGGAAGTCATCTTGTTTGCCATTTTATATTGTATAAAAACGAAAATAAAAATTAAAAACTATTATATTTTGTGTATTCCAGTGCACATGCTGCAGCTCCCGGCCGCGCTAGAAGCATTCGACTCGCACGGTCTGCGCGCGCAGAACGACCGGCTCATCGACATACCGGACATGATTACTGTCCTCACATCGCTGTATGAGGTATGGGAATTCATGCAACTAGGAACTACAATCTTCAAATTACCAAAACCAGTCTTAGCCTATTTGATGCCCTTAAACAAAATTTTTGATGATATCGTAAAAAAGGTCACCGATCCAAATGCCAACTGAGCTACGGAAATAATATCTGATGAAAAGATGACAAAATCTAATATATAAAATTCTCGTGTCACGGTGTTTGTTACCAAACTCCTCCGAAACGGCTTTACCGATTTTCATGAAATTTTGTGTGCATATCGGGTAGGTCTGAAAATCGGCCAACATCTATTTTTCATATCCCTCAATGATAAGGGTGACCTACCCCTAAATATTTTTTCTTTTATTATTTGACGAAACTTTTTATTTATATTTTATTATGATTTAGCATTGAAAAATACATACAAATTCAAATTTTCACACTTTTTCGATCAACCCCTGTTTTTTAATCGCGATTTTTATATAGCAATAGGGTTGCAAGATGGCAATCGAATATAATAATTGTAGTACAATAAATTTTCATGTATAATTCTCGAAATAACGTATATGGTAAAATGGTCTGCTAGTGTACATATAAAAAGTGCGAAACTAGAAATATACAATTATCGACCTAGATTAATCTATTATGAAAACATATATTGTTTATATCTCAGAGAAATCATTTAAAACAGGGTGATACATGCGAGTAAAGTAATCAGTCTAGTGGTATTGGATAGTTTATCTTGGCATACGCATAGTATTCCAAATTTTATGACGATTCGTAGACATGTCCAAGAAGTAACAAACAAATGTTCAAATATCAGATGCTACTCAGAGGTGCAATGGTACAAGAAGTGCCAGGAGTTATTAAATTCAACGTTGATAGTATTGATTAACCAAAAGGACTGTGTTGCTAAAAGTATTTGTGACATCTACTTGGTATTTGTCATCTTGGTCAATCGACATTGTTACTGCATAATCTATGGTCTCTGCAAGGATCGTGAAGTGTGAAGCAAATTGCGACGACCTACTGATCAGCAGCTACATTCACGTCATTCGTTATACTTTACTTATATTATATACCGTCACCTCTTCTTTTCATATATACAAAAATATTGTAAATTTATATATTTCATTTGTTTGGCGAAACATAATGGACATCTTATAAACTTCACAAATGCAACACCTTTTCTACAATGTTTCTAGCAAATAAATTTCATTCCATTTCATTTCATTTCATTTCATTTCATTTACATATCCAAATCAAGAACAAATTCGTTATTACTGCAAACCCAGTAAAGTAAACTTGGAACTACCCAACCTGCAAGGGCAAACTAACACCACATGCCCAAATAGACATATCCAGCTAATATCCGGACATAATGCGGCTAAAGTCGCTGGTTGTAACTTAACACTGAAATAAATAATAATTATTTATTTTCAGGTGATAGCAGCGGAGAACCCCAGCCTGGTGAATGTACCACTGTGCCTGGATCTCTCCATCAACTGGTTGCTGAACGTGTACGACAGCCAGCGGACCGGACAGATCCGGGTGCTGAGCTTCAAGGTCGGCCTGGTCTTACTGTGCAAGGGGCATCTGGAAGAGAAATACAGGTATCTATTGTCCATCCTTACTAACGACGGAGAGAGCAGATTGTTAAAAAACAAAAACTAGCCCCGTTGTTAGAAATATACCCTGTAAGATCGAGCTCCATGGAGACCACCTATAAGCAGACTTCACAAATATACTACGAGTAAATGCTGTGCGTAAAAATGGAATGGTAACCCTACGTACGCTATTAGTATACGCTGGTGGAGCATCAGAGATGATACGTGAGGATGAAAGCAGGTCAGTTGCTTTAACATGACGAACTCATCAAGAATTAACTATGATGAGCAAAATTAAATCATCCATTGATCCATTTTAGATAACATATAAATGTAAGCTCTTTAGTATCTATATTATACTTTAATTTTTCCAGATATTTATTCCGGCTAATAGCTGACCCATCGTGCCGAGCTGATCAAAGGAAACTTGGTCTTCTTCTTCACGACTGTATACAGGTTGGTGCTTGTTTACTTAATAATAATAAAAGCAAAGATAGATTGACTGATGCCAGTCCTAATAAAAGAAGGAAAGGAAAGAAGAAATTACTACAGTGCGTGAATTTACAGAGTACAGAGGAATAACACCTGAGTCCTCAGGAATGGCGACGCATGGGAGGTATCATGGGCGAAACAGTATACTCTGTTATGTCCATGGTACTGCTCTTGTGTATAGGCGACGGTTACCACTTTCCATCAGGTGGACCGTCAGCTTGCTTGCCATTGTAAGTTGTATAAAAAAAAGTTTCCTTACAACCTCAAATCATCAATTTGGCATAAAGTTACATTCCCTTCTCTTGTACTAATATTATTGTTCTGGGTTCCCTTAACTGGTTCTTACGGCAGACTGCCAATTCTATATGACATATTCACCGCATAGTTTTAATTTATTTTTTCCTTTTTAATTTATGAGAACTATTATTCTTCTCAAGAGTTTTAATTCTTTCTTTCGTGTTCTCGACGTGAGAAAATTTTGCTTAAAAATCTAATGTTTGTAATATTGTTTCCAGGTTCCCCGTCAACTAGGAGAAGTTGCAGCGTTCGGTGGATCTAACATCGAGCCATCGGTGAGGAGCTGCTTCGAGCAAGCCTCCGCCGCCACTAAGGAAGGCAATAAAGGCGGCACTCTCGACAGAAAATCTGGTATGTGATCCTCGTGAAACTCTTCTATTTCGAATTCATCTAGTTCATTATATTATTATTTAAAATCATCAATGAAGTCTTGATTATAAGAGGGAACTTTAAAAATATGCAAAACTACGTGATAATAATAAGCGTTTATTTTTTTAGGTTTATTTGATGATTTTCTATTTCTTATATCAAAAATCCGAAATCAAAGATGAAAGTCACAAAACTTGAAAGGAGTATTCCATAGGTCTTTGGGTAATTGTAACGGATTCACTGATTTAAAAAAGGGAATAGATTTTTGAAATTGAAAAAAGTACCAGAGGGAGACTTTGTACAAAAGTCGATTGCTTGGGTACCTCTGTCCAATTCGTGTTTCTACCGTGAAGCAGTTGTGTTTGCATGGCTGTGTTTCGATTTGAAGGATGGGATATAGCGTGACTTTACAGGGTACAGAGGAATAACACCTGAGTCCTCATGAATGGCAACGCATGGGGGGTATCATGGGCGAAACAGTATACTCTGTTATGTCCATAGTACTGCTCGTGTCTATAGGCGACGGTTACCACTTTCCATCAGGTGGGCCGTCAGCTTGTTTGCCATTCTAAGTTGTATAAAAAAATACTTTCATTTCGATCTAATACTATTATAATCAAGATACCAGTGAACTTACACGTGGAACACATTGCAGTGGACAAAGAGAAAGAAAAAGAAGATACAAAGGAGAAGACTCTGGAGCGCGACGCGGATGGCCAGCTGCAGTATATAGAAGCATTCCATTTCCTACAATGGCTGCAGAAGGAGCCCCAGTCGATGGTGTGGTTGCCGGTGTTGCATCGGTTGGCGGCGGCCGAGTCTGCCAAGCACCAGGCTAAATGCAATATATGTAAAGAATACCCCATTATTGGATTCAGGTAAGGACCGTCAAACGCACAAAGCCACATTCCGAAATGGCAAAATATTTAATTGCTATATTTTTGTATCAATGATTCCCCCTATTAAAATAGAATGTATTAAGTATGTGAAATACTTTTTAAGATTAAGGTATTATAGGACTGACATATCCTTATAGGATAGAAAAGAAAAAAAAAAGAAATCTCATGGTATCTATCACGTGTAGCTACTCCTGAGTATCAGAGGTATCAGAAATTCCTCTAGCTTTATTTTTATTAGTACATCTCATTTTTATTGTTGACCATCTGATAATCAATTGTTATTTATTTTTAATAATAATAATATAGCCTTTATTCAGAACAACTTAGTACATTAAAAATAAACATAAAATAAAATAAAAAAAAAAATCTTAAAAAAATAAGCAAGAAACAATTATTAGAATAAGTTATTTATTTTTACTATTTAAAATATTTAACTGAATAAATATAATTGTATTGCATTCTTTAATATTTTAATTAATGTTATTTTATTATTATATAATTTCGTAATATTTAAATGCTACAAAATTTTTTAAACTTAAATCATTGTAATTTTTGTTTTCAATATTTACACGTATGACCTAAGTAGATTTTGTAAGGTACTTTCAATTTATAAGATCGAATGTTTTATACCCATAATCATTGCAAATAATTAAAATAAAAAAAAACAATTAGCAAATATTGCTGCCTCACGCTAAGTTAGTTCTATAGGACCAGTTGAACTAATGCTATTAACTCCTGTTAATAATTTGTCGTCCTTTCAGATATCGCTGCTTGAAATGCTTCAACTTCGACATGTGCCAGAAGTGCTTCTTCAGCGGACGGAAAGCGAAGAACCACAAGTTGACACATCCCATGCAGGAGTACTGCACTACTGTTAGTATTGACATTTTTTTTTTTAATAAATTCGGTATATAATATTCGATATATAAATACATACATACATATCTGTCTCCCATTAGGGTAGGCAGAAACAATGGAACGCCAAATGCTTCGAAAATATATTCAAAAATATATAATTTTTTTAATAAATTAATAATTAATTCAGTAAATAAGCTTAACTTGCTTAAATAAATGTAAACCGCTATTTAGGAGGTCGGAGAAACAAATTACCTACGGTATTTTTTTAAATTGCCTAAAATGGCTAGTATACAAGTTTAAAATCTGAACGCCTCTAACTCTGATCTCTTCATTTCCAAAAGTTCTGACAACTTTAATAATCACAAAAAAATTACCAAAATGTTATTAAATTTATATAAATTTACATTAGGCGGAGTTTTTTTTATAAACTTTTGTACAAGAAGGCTATATATTTGTCGTATCTTTGCCTAGATAGTTAGCAATGAAAAATTCACGCCTCACAATTCACAAATGAGTTTTGTACCTTTGCCTTTCCCATTGTTGATAAACGTATTAGAGAAATAATTATTTGTCATTTCCTTTCTATGATAAATTTACTACTTTTTCATTTACTCAACTGATTGTCATGTCCTTTCTATGATAAATTTACTACTTTTTCATTTACTCAATCAGAATAAGTAAACGAAAAAATACATTTTAAATGCCATTCTACTTATTATTTAAATATATCGAAATAAGTATTACGAATTCTTATTAATTCGATTAATATACGACATATTTCAGACAACATCGGGAGAGGACGTGCGTGATTTCACACGAGCACTTCGCAACAAATTCAAGTCGGCGAGATACTTCAAGAAGCATCCCAGAGTCGGCTACTTACCCGTCCAGACTGTTCTTGAAGGTAAGTTTATGTTATTCAGTGGACTTATTTAATTATAGCGAGACAAAATTAATATAATGGCGCCATTTCTGAAAGTCAATGAAGGAGAGATATTTCTGTATTTATAGATAATAAAGAAATAATACAGTGTAATACTTTTGTTTATAAGCAATATATGTATTAACAAAAAGCAAGTCAATTGTTTTGCCGTGTGCTCCCGGCACAGAATAGGCCACTCCTTCCTTTTTCATGGGTGTCGTAAGAGTCGACTAAGGGAAGACGAGGGACAGGCAGCAACGTCCCTCTTAAATCATTTCTAAAGCCTAACTGCGGTTGCCAATCTGTTAGCCAAGCGTTGCAACTACTGGCAAAACCCTCCAAGGGTCCCTATGTTCAGCAGTGGACAGTTAAAGACTGATGATGAAATTAATAGTTTGGTACCCATAAATCCCATAATACAAACTTTGCTACTTCGTATTATTATAAACCTAGCATGATATTTCGTGAAGTTTATGTGAATGTTCGTTGGTCTGTGCAGGCGATGCACTAGAGTCGCCGGCACCGTCCCCGCAGCACGGCGGCGGCGGCGGCGGCGGCGGCGCGGGCGGCGACGACATGCACTCGCGCCTCGAGCTGTACGCCACGCGCCTCGCGCAGGTCGAGCGCGGCGCGCGCCCGCCGGACACGCCCGACAGGTACGCAACACCCCGCGCCACTCTGCGCCATTTGCGCCACTACGCGCCACTCCGCGCCACCCCGCGCCACTCCGCGCCACTCCGCGCCACTCCGCGCCACTCCGCGCCACTCCGCGCCACTCCGCGCCACCCCGCGCCACTCCGCGCCACTCATAGCCATTCCGCGCCACTCCGCGCCACTCCGCGCCAATCCTAGCCATTCCGCGCCACTCCTAGCCGCGCCACTCCTAGCCATTCCGCGCCACTACGCGCCACTCCGCGCCACTCCGCGCCACTTCGCGCCAATCCTAGCCTCTCCGCGTCACTCCGCATCACTCCGCGCCACTCCACGTCACTCCGCGCCACTCCGCGCCACTCCTCGCCACTCCCCGACACTCCGCATCACTCCGCGCCACTACGCAGCAATCCTAATCATTCCGCGCCAATACGCGCCATTCCGCGCCACACCGCGCCACACCGCGCCACTCCGCGCCACTCTCGCGCCACCCCGCGCCACTCCGCGCCACTCATAGCCATTCCGCGCCACTCCTAGCCATTTGGCGCCACTCCGCGCCAATCCTAGCCATTCCGCGCCACTCCGCGCCACTCTGCGCCACTCCGCGCCACACCACGCTACTCCGCGCCAATCCTAGCCATTCCGCGCCATTCCGCGCCACTCCGCGCGCGCGGCGCCATTCGCGCGCCCCATTCCGCGACACCGCCCGACAGCCACGCAACACCCGCGCCACTCTGCGCCATTTGGCGCCACTACGCGCCACTCCGCGCCACTCCGCGCCACTCCGCGCCACTCCGCGCCACCCCGCGCCACTCCGCGCCACTCCGCGACACTCCGCGCCACTCCGCGCCACTCCGCGCCACTCCGCGCCATTCCGCGCCACCCCGCGCCACTCCGCGCCACTCATAGCCATTCCGCGCCACTCCTAGCCATTTGGCGCCACTCCGCGCCACCTAGCCGCGCCACTCCGCGCCACTCCGCGCCACTCCGCGCCACTCCGCGCCACTCCGCGCCACTCATAGCCATTCCGCGCCACTACGCGCCACTCCGCGCCACTCCGCGCCACTTCGCGCCAATTCTAGCCTCTCCGCGTCACTCCGCATCACTCCGCGCCACTCCACGTCACTCCGCGCCACTCCGCGCCACACCGCGCCACTCCGCGCCTCTCCTCGCCTCTCCGCGTCACTCCGCATCACTCCGCGCCACTACGCAGCAATCCTAATCATTCCGCGCCACTACGCGCCACTCCGCGCCACTCCGCGCCACACCGCGCCACTCTTAGCCATTCCGCGCCACTCCGCGCCACTCTACGCCACTCCGCGCCACTCCGCGCCACACCACGCTACTCCGCGCCAATCCTAGCCATTCCGCGCCACACCGCGCCACTCCGCGCCAATCCTAGCCATACCGCGCCACTCCGCGCCACTCCTAGCCATTCCGCGCCACACCGCCACTCCGCGCCAATCCTAGCCACTCCTAGCCACACCGCGCCACTCCTAGCCATACCGCGCCACTCCTAGCCATTTGGCGCCACTCCTAGCCATTTGGCGCCACTCCTAGCCATTTGGCGCCACTCCGCGCCAATTCTAGCCACTCCGCGCCACTACGCGCCACTCCGCGCCACTCCGCGCCAATCCTAGCCTCTCCGCGTCACTCCGCATCACTCCGCGCCACTCCACGTCACTCCGCGCCATTCCGCGCCTCTCCTCGCCTATCCTCGCCTCTCCGCGTCACTCCGCATCATTCCGCGCCACTACGCAGCAATCCGCCATTTCGCGCCACTACGCGCCACTCCGCGCCACTACGCGCCACTCCGCGCCACTCCGCGCCACTCCATCCGCCAATCCTAGCCACTCCGCGTCACTCCGCCTCACTCCGCGCCACTCCGCGCCATTCCGCGCCTCTCCTCGCCTCTCCTCGCCTCTCCGCGTCACTCCGCATCACTCCGCGCCACTACGCAGCAATCCTAACCATTCCGTGCCACTACGCGCCACTCCGCGACACTCCGCGCCACTCCGCGCCACTACGCGCCACTCCGCGCCACTCCGCGCCACACCGCGCCACTCTTAGCCATTCCGCGCCACTCCGCGCCAATCCTAGCCTCTCCGCGTCACTCCGCATCACTCCGCGCCACTCCGCGCCAATCCTAGCCATTCCGCGCCACTCCGCGCCACTCCGCACCACACCGCGCCACTCCGCGCCACTCATAGCCATTCCTAGTAATCCTTGGTAATCCCACCCACGCTATCGGTATACACTGGCAGTGCACCACTGAAGGATAATAAGTGAGGATGAAGCAGGTCAATTAGCCCGTCGTGACGAATTCAACGAGAATTGTTCTCGATGGTTTCCAGGGGGAACCACGTGGAGATTGACCTAATAGAGCATAATGCTAGCAATGGCGCTGTCAAACTCCTAGTTGAATACGCGTTCTAATATCAATCGCAGTCAAAAATGTTTAATTGCCCAGTGCGAGAGTCTCAATTATGTTGGATTTGCAACAATAAGTGTGTGCAACAATAGAAGTGACACTTTCCTTTATGAATCCACCAAAGCTGCCAAAATGCACCCTTTTCCACCTTAAGCCTGATATAGGTCAGGAAAACTATTACAAATTTATTCTTATTTAACAATAATTAATATAATATACGACCGTAAACCTTTTCCTTTTATCCTTTATTCCTATTCCTAATCCTTTTCGAAAAACTCCTGACGCTTGAAGGCAAGATAAAAATATATATCCAATCAAACAACTGAAACTCTCTCAAAAACAAAGATTATATAAGTATTTAACAACACCTACTAACGATAATGAACCTTCCAGTGACGAAGAACACCAGCTGATAGCCCAATACTGCCTGTCGTTGAACGGCAGTGGCGGAGGCGGCGAGGGCGAGGAAGCACCTCGTTCACCCGTGCAGGTCGTCTCCATCATACATCGAGAGCAGAGACACGAACTCGAAGCTATGATTAGGTTAGAAAACATTAGCTGTTTTAAAATCAGATTAAAGTGACCACTACAGCTCATGTAATGCCAGTCCAATGCCAAAATCATTTAGTTGTATAGGAATCTGTTGTTGTCACTTTATGTGCGTAAATTTATGCCTTATCGTAATTACTCGGTATCTATTCTTACGTCGCGAAAATCTAGAGTAATTATAATGCCCTAAACTCATTCTCCAAACCAAAACATACCCTGCAAACAAGTTGCTGTATGGCAATAGTATATAGTACAAACTATATAGTGATATAGAGATATCCATGCAGATAAGTTTGAAAATCTGAAATCATAAACTACCTGCAAAAAAATTAGTGTACAAATGTAAATTTAATAACAAACATTTAGATGACCCAAATAATGAAATGTAACTTATTACTTTTATAATTTGTGTAAAAGCTTTTCTAAATAAAAATTCATAATTCCAGAGAACTGGAAGAAGAGAACGCCAGTCTTCAAGCAGAATATGAGCGGTTGAAAGCAAAGCAAACACCCGGCTCTACACCCGAAGAACAACTGAATATCAGCGAAAACCGAAATGCTCCAGTTGACCAAGTAAGTGCCTATAGTAATTCGAATTTACATTACATTCCAATAGAAGTCTTAAAGCACACAAAGCTGTCATCTGATAAATCATGTAAGTGGCTTTCGTTTATAAATAACGTAACCTAGAAGGAACCATTTTTATGCAAGTAGTAGTTGTTAAAGTTAAGTATATAACCTAGGAAAAAATATAAAGTTCTTAAAAGTAATGACAATATGAAAATAATACGATTAAAATTAATATTATCCCAACAGGACATGATGGCGGAGGCTCGCTTGTTGAGGCAGCATAAAGGTCGTTTAGAAGCTCGGATGCAAATTCTCGAAGAACATAATAGACAACTAGAAGCTCAGCTGCAAAGACTTAGGAGATTGCTTGATGAGGTATTTATATTTATGCTATATCAATGTTTAATTATTATATATGTAAACTCATGCAAATAACAATTTAAATGTCGTCAATATTAATTAATTGATATTAATACGACGCTCTCTCACGTTTCTAGCCCGCTCAAGGGTCTCCCCCAGCTCGCACTGGCACTCTGCAAACTCGCTCCGTGACTGCTTCCCAGCTCGCTACCGACTCACCCGCCAAAATGCACAATGGACTCTACCACGAGTCTCAAACCAGTAAGTAACATTACTCTCTTTTTGTACTAACAATATTTTTGACTTTAGGGAAGCTATCGACTGTGTCACGACGACATTACTATAGCAGACTAGCAGTCAAGATTTCTATTATATATGCGGTGTTACATTTTCAGCATATTCTGAACAGAGATGTAAAAACTTCACAATACATTCGTAAAGGCAGCCCGGTTTTATAGGGTGTTTCTCAAGGCATAATACTAGGTCCCGATCTTTTAGATTTAGTAACAACTTTTAAATGTGACTTTTGCGTGAAGATGGCGGCGGAAGATGGGGCGGCGCGGGGGCGGAGCGCGAGCCGCTGGAGCGGCCCCCGCCGCCGCCGCACTCCGTGCACTCGCTCATGCACTGCGCAGGTTAGATGGACCGACGACATGTGTGTTTTGGTTTTAGTTGATTTGTTTTTACAGTAACATAGTTTGTATTTCACGACGTTGTTATTTATTTTTTGTTTGGCGATTCAAGGTTGCTGTTTTGCACGGTTTTTGCATGTCACAATTATTGTCTTCGTTGTCCTCCGACATTCTCACTAATGTTCACGTGTTTTCTTTTTTTTTGCAAACATAACAGGACGTATACCGTGAGGTAAATATATACCAATGTTTAGTTTAGGATAAACTACTGTATGTAGTAAGAACCCTAACCCCTAGATAATATGAGCATATCAATTCAAAAGTATCTACTTCCTCAAACGAGAAAAGATTTACACCACTTCTTGTGAAGGTCAAAGTATTAGTGTGGTGATAAAAAGAATAAAGTCCTCAGAAGTAGTAATGCTTGAGGATTTTGTTGACGTTTAATAGACTTTACTAAAAACAAAATATTTGCGTAAATATATAACAACTGTTTATGTTTTACAATTTTGTTCTCAGATGACTTGGGACGCGCTGTCGAAGAACTAGTGTCAGTTATGACGGAGGATCAACAAAATCAAACGGCGAACGCGCCTCCACAGTATACCAACGGCAAACCAGGCAACAAGAATAACGAAACGCCGTAATACAAAATAAACAACGCGCGTACGGTGGTGCTTTTGGCGGGGAAAACTGCATTGCCATATATAAAAATGGCGAAGTAGTCCGCTTTCATATAAATGATTTTCGCTCTAGCAACACTGTCGAGACCAAAGAATATAACAACACTGCTTATAATAAACCTATTATAGCGTTGTAAATGTATTTTGAAAAACGCTTTAAGACATCATATGTTTCTATACTAATTTTCGACTCATCACTAACATATCTGCACGCTGTACTTTCTACCTTATTATACAAAAGCTCTAACATTTCATTTATCATTTTCTAATCATTATGAGGCTTCTCTAAACTGGTTCGGGCATGGGGATATACTCTTACATAATTGGAAGCCTGAAAAGGACCAGCTAAATAGAACTACCCATGTACATCTCGGTTTAGTTCATGCTAGCTGTCGGTAAAAGACGATTATCGTATGCAACGCTTATTGTATAAATAAGGGGGTGCCAATGTTGCAGTACGTATCGTGATTGAGTCATTCTATTTTTCTACTATATTTTTATTGGGCAACATCACTTTTTCTTCTAATTATTTTCCGGTCTCAGGCAGTGTTGCCAGGACGACACTATCCAACGAAAAAGACAACTAACGAGCATTTATATTTATAAATTGTACCAAATACGTCGTTAAACGTGTTAAATACCTTACATTTATTAACCATTTAAGTACATATCTTATTAGTACAATCTCCATTATCTATCATATCACTTCTTGTAAATTTTCATATCATTTTACGCTGTGTGTAAAAATACTGGCACGTGTATAAAATAATCACGAAAAAACGCAACGTCGACAAATTGTTTCAGTTGAAACAAACAGTTGGAGACGACCAAAATTGTAAGACAGCTTAAACGAACAAGGAGCAGAAAGCTTTAATAGTATCACAATTAGCTTTAAAAACCATGTTTTGAGACATTTTTGCAACTGGTAATGCAGCCTTGGATATTTGCTACGAAACAAACGGTGGGAGCCTACGTTCTAGTGGAAAATTTACTGTTATATTAGTGATCTACAATCTTCAATACGATATATGCCATCTTCACGTATGGCCGTAGATAAAGGATGCGTTAACCGTTTCGCGAGTAGTGTAGATGTAGCCAAATCAATATCAAGCATGTTTATCACGTGCATGTTCGTGTATGTTACATATTATCGAGTTATCAAAATATGTATTGTTAGAATCTATATTACTAATTGAGCTGCTTCTACGCAAGTTAGTGACCGTTTCATTTCCCTCTGTCTCCGTGTTTCGGACTGTCAGAAATCGGGGTTGCCAGATTGTTTTAGTAGAAATGGTAGATATTGAGGACCATTAAAACAATTTTTGACTTTTTTATTAACAAACGGATTACAGTGACAGAGCAAATATTTTATTTTTATTATTAGTGAATTATCCAGATAGTTCTGGAGATCTGGCAACACTGAATTAGTAGGAACTCTTCTTAGACTAAAAACATGTATCCACAACTTTTTCACTATTACAACGGCATGAGGACACATTTTTACTTAGGATAATGTTGGATGCGTCAATTTTTATGTCGCATTCTGATATTTCGACATTTTGTAACGTGTGTCTAGTAAGATGCTGCCTACCTTTTAGATAAGAATATATTGGAGAGATGACTTTTATACGAATGTTAAGTAATCTGTTGAAGCTAACTTTACGATAAGGACTTCCGATTTAACCATATCATGGTTTTTTATATTTTTTAGTCGTTGATTCGTATTGGAATTTTGACTGTGTTGTAACAAAACAGAACTTTTTTACTGGCAACACCTTTTGAAATTTCGCGGGAATCGCGACTTTATACTTAATATTTTATTATTAATTTGGCTAATATAGAATATAAGGAAAAAAAAGCACAATTATATTATTTTAACGAAAGAATAATTAAATTTACACTAATATATTGTTAATAATTTTATTGTATTTGTTTATTGACTAGTATGGGTAGTTTCGTTTAAAAATCATTTATTATTTTCTTTATTGGCAACTATGAAATATACTACTACAGCATTTATTTGTATATTTTACTGTGTTTATAATGTTTTAGAAGTTAATAAAATCCAAATAAACATTCAACATAGTATTGCTTGGTTTTATTGGTTATATTCCTGTAGCATTTTTTAAGAAAATAAATTTTTTGTTTATTCATAGGAAATCCTTGAAGGCTTACAATTTACGTGAATTGAAGAACCAGACAATAACAATATTAGCAAGAACTAATCCATTCATTACTTTAAATAAGTTGTTTATACATAGGTACCTGAATAAAATACCTGGATATTTTAATGAGTAACTAAAACACAAAAAGAAAAAACAATGAATGACCATATTATCCTATCTAGATTTACACAGTTTATTTGAATTTACGGGGTACAGAGGAATAACACCTGAGTCCTCAGAAAATGCATAGGGTGTATCATGGGCGAAACAGTATATTCTATTATATTAGTGGTACCGCTCATGTCTATAGGCGACGGTTACTACTTTCTAACAGGTGGGCCGTCAGCTTGTTTGCCATTCTAAGTTACATAAAAAAATATTACCAACTTTATTTAGAATAATAATAGTATTATATTATCTGTGTGAAAACAATTTTTTTCGCCTAATTAGCAAAGGACACAATTTTAATTCAAATACAAGCATACAACCCGTCTGATGGTAAACGGTCACTGTAGCCTATGGACGCTTGCAACACTAGGAGTGTCACGTGGGGACAATTAATGTCAATAAACTGTGTGGAAAGAGGAGTTAAGGAAATAAAACAATAGTGAACTTTCATTAAATTTTATATTAACAAGCTATAACATATTGTAACTTAATACATATCGCCATATGACAAAATAAAAATACTGTACTTAGATCATCTCTGTAAAAATTTTTAAAAGTACGCAATAGTGCCCTCGAGTCAAACCTCCAATGTTTTCAACAATATTATCTCTAATGCTTGATTGATTTATATAACTACACTGTGGCTCAAACAGGTCAATGTCTAACCACACACCACATTGGGGGGAAAGGGATTGTTAGTAATGGAAATTGAGAATCCCATTGCTAGCAATATACCCAATCAGGTCTAGCCATGGTTAATTCATGAATTCATCATGATGGGCTAACTGGCCTGTTTTCATTCTCATCTATCACCCTTCACTGGTGCCCCGCCAACGTATCCCGTTAGCGCAGGTGGGGTTACTATTCCATTATATACCAATAAAAAAAACCACACACCACAGTGTAAGGATCAACCAGTAGTCCAATGATACGTCATTGGACTACTGGTTGATCAAGCATGTACCGAACGATTACATCATAATTTGGGACAAATTACTGTCTAGATGTGTTTATAAGACGACTGGCAGAATAGTTCTTTAAACTACATCTGTACACAAGCCTATTTTAGCTATTGAAGTATTTTACCACTTTTTTTCAAATCGGAAATTCAATGCAAAATTATTATGAGGCGTTTAACATTTATATGAACAAGGAAGTTAATATAAAAAACCTGAAGACAAGACGTTATGCCGGAACAGCAAGTTATAGAACAAAATATTTGGAAAAAGAGCAAATCTGAGTACAATAAAATTCTCCATAAAAACATACTAAATTTAAAATTTAAAATCGATAAGAATTTACTAAATTAAATGAGTTAAAATAATTTTATTATGGTAATTTAAACTAGAGAATCCAATACAATTACCACACTAAGAGGCAACCGTTATTAATATTATGCATCTTGTAAAAAGGCACAATATTCAGTCGTGAGTTTTATAATTTTTTTACTTCAGTAAAATAGGTGCTTATTTAGCATAAGTGCACGTTTACACTGGATTAGTTACAGACTCCGAATTCGAAGCAGATAATTTACTGCTATCACTATCAAGTCACCAGTAACTCGAATATATGAATATTCTAGTTTAGTAGGAAAGAAATTATATTGCAGTAGAAATATTATTAAAATACTAGCTGACCCCGTAAACGTTGTTTTACCACTTATTGCAAAATATAAAAATCGCGATTAAAATACAGGGGTTGATCGTAAAACGATGAAAATTTAAAGTTGTGTGTATTTTTCAATGCTTAAAACACAATTAAAAATTTTGTCAAAAAAATATAAAAAAAAATTTTAGGGGTGGGTCACCCTTATCATTGAGGGGTATAAAAAATAGATGTTGGCCGATTTTCAGACCTACCGAATATGCACACAAAATTTCATGAAAATCGGTAAAGCCGTTTCGGAGGAGTTTGGTAACAAACACCGCGACACGAGAATTTTATGTATTAGAATATAAAAAAATATATATTAAGTAACAATTATTCGAATCCTTACTAATACTTATACTATTATAAAAATGAAAGTTTATAAAGGGTGGATGTATGGATAGCTATTATACTTTCATACACTGAACAGATTTGAAGGAAATTACATAAAGGAATAGGTTACATCCAACATAAAACATACAGTATTTTATATACTCATTCATGAGGGCAAAAACGCGGGATACAGCTAGTACCTATTAGAAATCCGAAAATGTGTTCGTTTGTTACCTCTTCGCGCCTTAATGACTTAACCAGTCATTGATATACACATCTTAAACAGGATAGAAGAGATAGACTGCTTTTTACCCAGGTCATTAAACAGATCCCAGTTACGCAGACGAAGTCGCAGGTAAAAGTTAGTTTGAGATATTTTAATAATATTTCTATTAGGGTACTACAGTGAACGCTCTATATAAGCAACTCATTTGGACCAATTTCAATAAAAAAAAAATTATTAGGAAAAAAAGAGTATAAAAATACTTAGCTTTTGAAAAATATTTTTACTTATTTCTTTTACTAACTAAGCTGAGTACAATAAATAAAATATAAAGAATTTTGCTTATATAGAGCGTTCACTGTATTTACATTTTCAATACATAATATTTTACTTTGTCGGAGCAAGTTACTAAATAAATAATATTATGACAAACTAATGGGAGTGTCAAATTGATTACGCACCTTATGGGAAGTGGGTCATCATCATATATCATGGCATCCCTTATTGCTGCCACTTATGAGGACTGACATTGTTCTTTTGGCATTAGAAATACTAGACTATATAATTTTACGTATGTACCACATACTCCCCACTATATGTAGATACAATACCATGGACAAAATTTGACAACTGTCACCGAATATATGCTAAATCTGAATTTAATTCAAAGAAGATGAAACCAATAATTGGTTTTAATATAAATTTTATCATATCTTTTTTTAACATAATTTAAATAGTATAAATTATGTTAATGTAAAAATAATTTATCTATGTAACATGGAAAAGCAGACAAGTATGTTAGAAAAAGTACCAGCAAATCATTACTAATTTTATAAATGTGAAAGTATGTTTGTTTGTTACTTTTTTGATGCTGTAACAGCTTAACCAATTTGTATGAAATTTGATATATACATACTCATATTGTAAGTGGAGACGGATAGAAGTAACTTTTTATAGTAGTCAGCAAACATATCCTAGTCATATTGGATCAAGGTGCAGGTAAAAGTTAGTATTTTATATATATATATATCAGTTAAGAGGTATTGGTAGTTAACCATTGGTAAATGGGAACAACCTAAGAGAGCTATACTTCACTCAACAAATGATCAGCAAGTGCTAATAATAAATTAGATAAAAGCAAATAAAATTATTTAACTCACACTTCTTTCGACTAGGTTACACTAACTGTAGTCACATTATGAGAATATGTACTAAATATGAGAGCTTAAAAATAAAACTTTAATTCTTTATGCCATATACAGCTGTAAAAATAAAGTGAAACTTCATACTTCTTTCCTTGTCAACAGTGTATCAGTACATTAATGCTGAGAAAAACTTAAACAACCAATTGGACAAATAATTCAAATATTATTTAGGATTCTATAAAAATAACTATAGGAAGCAAAGGTTCCATTGACTATCTGTTTATACCATACATATAACTAGGTATCTTTAAACATTTTGTAAACAAATTTTAAATTAACCTAAGCTGCTAATCTTAGAATGCTACAGACAAATTGTTTACTGTTTTAATGCCATTTTTTACTTTAATGCCCAAGTCATACATGCTATAATAAATTGGTACAATATACCTGCATAGTTAAAATTTAACCTATCTCTATGAAAAAGTGTTTAAATTTATTACATTCAATTGTGTTCAAATTGATGGGAGTGAGTATAGTCAGGAACAAACCTTTACCATCAGACAGGCTGTATGCTCGTTTGCCACCTTCATGGTACAAAAAAAAAACTTGCTTTAAATTAACTTATTAATAACAATTAAATATCTAAGTATCACCAGAATCACACTTGTACAGTTGAATTGGTCTTACTATCCAATCCATTCACAGCGGTTGGAATATCAGTTCGTGGCCTCCTGAAGAGAAGAACATGGGGCTCAGGGTTGTGGACCATGAAGTGGAGCCAGCCAGGACTCTGCTGAACACCAAGGTTCCTCCATTCTGTTTCTGTCATGAGGTGAGACTTGGGCACGTGACGGGCAACATCAGGTGGAAGGAGTACATGTCTAAAACAAAACAGAGGTATAACGCCAGAATTCTAAGGAATGGCAACGCATGAAGATTATTACGAGTCGCTCTCATCGAGTGGACTTGTTTGTAATTTTAAATTACATAAAGGAAATTGTGATAATCAATCTCTATTGTCAGTTAATAATTTAATTTACTAATATATAATTAGTGTTGTTGTATCAGCCGTTAACTGTCCACTGCTGAACTTAGCCTCCCCCATAAGGGGAGTTTTGCCAATAGTTGCCACGCTTGGCAGGCAGGTTGGCAACTGCAGGTTACTTTAGCTTTTGGTCATGTTTTAAGAGCGACACTGCTGCCCATCCCTCTATAATAAGCTCCCTTAGTCGCCTCTTACAACACCCACGAAGGAAGAGGTGGCCTATTCTATGCCAGGACTTACACAGCAAATTAAAATGTATATTTGTAAAAAACATTAACAAAGAATGTAATATTCAAGAACATGTTTAACTCATTATATTTGTAACATTCCCTGTACATATACTCCAGTTAATATACTTATCTAAATTTTCAATCAAACATCAATTTAAACATTAAATATTACTCTAATACTTTCAATCAAAATAAAAGTGGGTAGTGGCTAGAAAAATTAAAATGTTGAAAATAAAATTTCGGTCAATGTGTACCTCTAAAATTTCTAACACTTTATTACACTAATAGAAAAGTTATAGAGTGGAAAACCGATATGGATTTTAAATTTTCAAGAAATACGCTTGAGACATTATGAAGTCATATAAAATGACTATCAAACTGGACATACATGAAAAATAAGAAAAATCAAGATACAATTTGCTCACCTATATTCATAAACGTCATCAGTATATCTTTCAGAGTACTGTATTTGATCGACGGGCATTTTTCCTTTTAAATGAACCCTTACAGCAAAGTTATAAAATTACAACAGCATCAAAAACAGAATCTACAAATTGCAAAATAAATGAAAACTCAAAACAGTTAAAAAATTCGAATACAAAACAAAAATCGAACAGACGAAAAACATAATGTGAAGCTCGTTCCAAACATTCAAATTGAATTTTATATATATATTATTTAAACCACCACTTTAATATTTTGGTAATTTAATAAATTAGAGCCATACAAATTTCATACAGTAATAGAAAATATGTAAAGCTATTATGTTTTTATGAAACTAATAACAATATATATTTTTTTATTTAAATTCAATTAGTTTATCAATAGAAATATTTTATTTTCGAACATAGTTTGGTACAACTTTGGAGGGAATGTCAAGATGTCAAAAAATGACATTGACAGTCTCCGGAAACATTTTGCGTTCCGTTTCAATTCGTGCTTTACAGTTTGTTACTTTGTAGAAGTTCAGTACGAAAATAAAAAAAATATTATACATTTACAGTTCTTTTTTTGTCCTTTAATATATCACTACTACTATTTATATTAGCAAGGTTTTATAATGTGGTACTTTATATATCGTTTAAAGTTTCTTTATCATAAATACAGTTTAATACCAATCAGAAAGAAACCACAAGGAATCGCCAAAAACCTGAATGTACATACCGCACTACTCGTACCTAATTGTATTGGGAACTAGCTTACGCAAGTGGGAAGGCGAAACAACTGTAAGTACCGTCACCGTCACCATTAAATGGTGACGACCGGCGGCAACATTATTCAATCATAGCGACCCCAACACGGTAACAATTCAATAATACGACTGCAATTTATAGGTAGGACATGATTTAGATTTTTTTCAGGAAATTGAATTTTCTTTATTGTAGATACCAATGTAGCATTGTAACATATGTACGCAATTTTATTTATGTTATAGGTATTTATAGGTGTAAGGAAAATTATCACAAATGAACATAATAGACAAAATATTTGATATATTTTCTTAGATGGCACTTCTCTTTAATTTATTCGTGTTTTTCACTCTTTCTTTCTCTCTACAAATTCGTAGAAGTAAAAAAGAGCTCCTTCAATTTATAATCAGAGGGCCTACCATGAAGTATTTTCCGAAGTTTCGGGGACGAACGAAACAGAAATTTGATGTTAAAATTGCATAATACATGCTGTTTAAAATTATTAAAAAGGTTAAAATATCGTTCCTTTGGACTATTAGAATAGAATTTGTGATGAACGAAATGTTAAGCTCCATTTACTGGGTCGATTTTGATACGAACAAAAACACGAAATTGAGCCCGAAATTTCGGAATTTCATTTCATGGTAGACCATCAGTTTTGTCGTCGACCTTTGCTTGACAAGTATGTGTGCTTATTTTAATATGCAAATGAACGATTAAGTTTGATGTTGGTAAACGCCTTTTACAAGAAACCTAAAAAATAACATTATGGCTACGTTGTCGATGCAAAACAAAATTGTTATAGGTAATAAAATAAGAATGCTTTATTTAAAATGAAATTCGTTAAAACATTTTTTTTCGGTCCCTTGCCTCCTTCCAAATTGAAATGTATATTTTTAATCACAATCCTCAATTATTTAATAAAATGAATTGAAAAAAGTTATTGTTGGGAAATTTCTAGATTTTTCTCAGCTAAAAACAATATTATAAACCAAACGTTAAAATATAAACAGTTACTACTTACCTATTTTCACTAGGTATATTTTGACAAAATTATTCTAGAGACTTTATCCCGATTTCGGCCAAAATCATGTTTAACCTAATTGTGACAGTCGACTAACACACAAGAGACCCCTCAACCGATATTTCAGGTACTTATTTCGACTCTCCGGGTGATAGCAAGCAGCTGCCTGTTGAAAATGACTGAAATCACTCTTGAATTCTTACAGGATCTTATTAAGGACGATTATCCTGATGTAACACTACACAGCTTTGAGGTATGTTGTATTTTAAATTTTATATTTATAAAAAAAAAGTAAGAAGAGAACGCACTGATTCTAAACTTAGATGAGATAAAATAAATACACATGGATTTTGTGTCATCCCATAGGTAATAAGAAGATTCAAAACGCAGTTTTTCAAAGTTGCTCAAACACGCAAATATTTTAAATAAATGTTTTTAAAAAATAATCATACACTGTAATGTAATAATGAATGTTCTCCGAAGAAAATTTGTATTGGATTTATTATAAATATTCGTTAAAATATCTAAAAACATATATTTCTTAAAATATTGTTTGTGATATAATCGCAAAAATTTGCATGAAAAAATGCCGAGTTGATTTGTAAAATGCGTTCCGTTTCACAAAGTATATTTAGTGAATACAAATAATGCTCACTAGATGGCGCAACAAAATTAGTCTCTAAAGCTACAACACGATATAAAGATTTTTTCTTCAAGAATGACCTCGAAATTTAGAACTCATAGACTCATACTTACCTGGCTCAGAGGCAACCATGATCACTAGGGTGGTTCCTCCAGGGTGAGGCCCTACCATTGCACTTCGGATGGGCTGACCCTTGCGATTAATCCAAATGCGATTAACTCGGGAGTACAATTTTTGGTAGTGGGGGGCTGCGTTCGCGCTGTCCCCTGGATCAAGAAATAAATTTTAAATTTTGCTTTGAATGAACGACAATTACTGCTTAAATCGTTTATTAATTCTTCTGAACTATGTTGAAAAGGAAACAAAATTTGCTTGTTTTTTTGGATGCATTCTTACATATTCAAAAAAATAAATAATCAATTTTAAAAAATCTTTCACCTAAATCGGCGACTAAACGAGTTGTATTTTATTTAAAAATTCTGTCTAATCACCCGTGCGAAGCCGGGGCGCGGATGTTAGTTTTATGGTCAGTCTATGTTGCAGAAAAAAACATCTCTCGACCTTGCAAACATTTATACTCACGAGTACCCCTGTTTGTATTTGTTTTATATCTGTTTGTATTGGTTTGTTAAAGAAAATTAGCGTTGTGTACAATACGAATTTACATATAAAATATTTATATATTAATAATAATAAAGATTTATTGCACATAAAAATATACAGTCATGGGCTTACAGAAATTTTAAAGTGAATTATATGTGTATAAAGTGTAGCATTATGCGCAACACATTAGTGTCTAAACTAGGCCTAGCCTGTATCTTAGACACCAATGCCTTCAATTAGATACATATTTTCGTGCAGTTTCGCTATATTAAAATAGTACAAGAATCAGTAAACATGTTTTATACTACTAAAATAGGCAGGTGTCCATAGACTACAGTAGCTGTTTACCATCAGACGGTTTCTAAACTTGATTGCCATCTTCGTGGTGTAAAAAAAAATATATATCCGTTTACATTGTCATTAATTTTCAGTGCGAAACACTATTGTTACTGTTTTTTTTTTTTTTTTTTTTTTTTAAAGATAAAACCTACTAGTATGTTTGTAATTAGGATGTATGTTGCAGGGCGCACCGGGCTCCAAAAGGGGGGATAATTACACTTCAATGGTGTACCGTATATCTATGAAAGGCACTCGAAAACACATAGAACCGGACGGCTCCAGCGAAAACGAAGAGCCATGGAACACGTCCATCATTTACAAACGTCTCCCCGAAAGTATTTTGATGAAGGAGGCATTCAAAAGCGACGAATTGTTTTGCAATGAGGTCGCATTTTACAATAAAATATGGCCGGCGCTGTCGAGCTTTCAAGAATTGTGGGAGAAAGTGAAGAGTCCTTTTAAATCTATACCGAAATGTTATTTGGCGCAGTCCGATTCGGTTATTCTTAAAGATTTAAAACAATTAGGCTTTGTGATGCCAGATAGGAGGCAGGGTCTCACCACGGAGCAATGCTACTTCGTGCTGAAACACCTTTCGCATTTCCACGCATTGTCTTTGGCGATGAAATGCCATAATCCTGAGGGGTTTTATGAATTGTTGAATGACAAAGATGGCATATCTGAAGGTGAGTCGTTATTATTTTCGTTAATCTATTAATTTATCTGCTTTTTTGTTTGTTTGTACTAATTGTAATATTTGTAAAGATTTAATTTTTTAATTATTTATAATGGAGATAAACTCAAAAACTAATCGATCGATTTTAAAATATCATTTACTTGTTAAATTGTTACTTGTTTTAAATATATTGCTTTTTTGTGGCACAGGACCGTTCTTTATGGCAGTCCATGGGGGAGGCTTATGTCCAGCAGTGGACGGATGATGACTGAGATGATGATGATGATGATGAATGAACGCGAAAGTTTAAAATTAATAATTAACTTGTCGGTCACTTTTTCTAGTATTTTTCGTATCAGAAAATGAGGAGTATTATAAGAATTACTACCGTGAGGCGTCAGAGAATGCAATAGCTATGGTGGCTCAGGAGTTGAAGGACTCGGAAGACAAGGAGCTGTATTTGGGCAAGCTGCAGCAGTTCTGCAGCGAGGACACCTTCTTCCAGAGCATGGTGGAGCTGGTCACGCCCAAAGAACCGCTGGCCGTCATCTGCCACGGAGATTGTTGGACCAACAACTTTTTGTTTCGATATGTTGACGGGGATATTGCTGAGGTGAATAATTTATTGTTACTTTTTAAATTAATGAATTAAATTTTATGGCATTTTATTGTGTCTATTCATTAATGATAACATTTCTTAAAAGCTAAGTTAGGCTTGGGAAGGTTGTGGCATAGAATAGGCCACAACCTTCCCAAGCCTAACTTAGCTTTTTTTGCCACTTGTGGTATAAAAAAAAACTGCAATTCAGAATCTGGCCCCTATTTATTTAAAAGTATCCAATAGTTTTCGTTCTTCACAGATGTACCTCGTTGATTTCCAACTAGCCCGCTACGCGTCTCCGGCCATGGACTTGGCGTACCTCATGTACCTCTGCCTGGACCGTCAGCAGCGCTCCGAGCACCTCTCCTCGTTGCTGGAGTACTACGTGGACGAGCTTCACAGGCGGCTCGTTGAAATGAGTGATGACGATTCCATCTTCAATACCAGTTTGAATCGGGATGCTATATATGAATTGTGAGTTGGCAATTATTAAAACAATGGCCGTGTGGTCCGGCATAGAATGGGCCTCTTTTCCATGAGAGGCGACTGAAGGTACTTAATGGTCGAATGATGGGTAGCAGCGTTCCTTCTAAAACATTATCAGGGCCTAATTATGATTGCCAAATCCTTCTACCAAGCGTTGCAACTATTGGCAAAAGCCCCTCAGTTCAGCAGTAAGACAGTTATTTATTATTTATTTTATTTAACTCTTTATTGCACCATAAATAAAAGTATACAATGACAAGTGAATAATTCAAGTGAAATACAGTAACATAAATACAGATTGAAATATACACATAAAGGTACAAAAGGCGGTCTTATCGCTAGGGCAATCTCTTACAGACAACCTTTGGTTAAAGGAGAACAGATAGAATGATAAATAGAGACAGTTAATAGATAATATGATGATGATGATGATGATATGATAGTAATATAGAGTCATTTATTCTTTTACTCACATAACCTGTACAGAGCGGACAGTCTACCGTTACGCCAAACAGAGAGTTTAGATGACGGTGCATCAGACTAATAATATTAATTGGTAAATAAAATAATTTTTTTTGACAAATTTCACATCTCCCCTCTTAAGGAGAGGAGATGGCAAACTAACTCTCGGTAACACAGTCAGCTACGGTTCAGGACCCCAAGGAAAGAAACCGGCGTATAATGCGGGCAGTATCTAAGAGCACCGCTCACTGCATCTTTCCCGGTAGTGAGCCGCCTCGCAATCTCAGCCGTCTGAGATGTTGTTCCAGTCTGGTTGGGATAAGACCGTTCACCGAGAGAATGATTGGGATGATTTCTATGGATGTTATCCTTCAGATTTCGGTCACCTCGTGTGCCAAGTCTAGATATTTCCCCTTCTTCTTTTAGCATTATTATTTAACTTTGTTATTTTTTATATCTATCTATTTTTAAATACACATGAACAAGATTTTTATAAATAAATAGTACCTACATACCTGCTTCCTTTTGCCGATGTTTCAATGTGGATTTTACCACGTCGTAACCACGACTATTTCCTACAGGTAAAAAAGCTTTTTCAACGCATTAAGTCCCTATTGTGTATTTAAAAATGTGTGTAAATAAAATAAAACAAAGTGTTTCGTACAAAACCATGGAAGAAGTAATTTATTGACAGATAAAAAAAAAATATAAAAGTAAGTTTACAATCGCAAACCATAGATGGCACTAGTTGTACCACTAATTATTTTGACATAACAACAGTAACAAACAAACAAGGCGGAAGTTTAAAATTAACTGTTGTATTAATTTTGTTCACAGGTTAGAAGGGGAATTTAAACGCAGTAGTCTTTTCGGTCTCGGCATGGCTCTGGATATGTACCCGATAATGACTTGCGACAGTAACGAGGCGCCCAACCTTTATCAGGCCAAGGCAAGACTTTAGTTTAAACGTAGTTCTAAAAAAATGCAAAGTACAAAAAAAAAAGATGTACGATTTTATTTCATTATTATTTATATTTACTTATCTGATAATGATCAGAGGGCCTACCATGAAATAGTTTCCGAAATTTCGGAGTACAACGAAACACTAATTTCATGTTAAAATTATATAATGTACGTATTATGTAAATTTACCATGAAAACCTTTCAAAATATTGAAAATACTAAAATATTGTTTTTTTTTTAACATGCGTGATAGGATTTATTACGAATGAAATGTTAAGCTCCAATTACATTTCATTGTAGATCTCTGATTTCAGAATATTTTTTCAAATTAATATAATTACGTCAAAATCTTTATTCATATATATATGTTTATATATGCATTACAAATTATACATAAAAGTACTAAAAATATTTATTTATTATATTAATAAGGATGAAAACTGATTTTTTATTTAGCAATGATATTGATCAATCTTCTAATGTTTCACATTATTTTCCTGTGCCCTTTTTTATTTCCTATTTCTACTTATAAATGACATCCTTTTTAACCATAAAAAAAAATATTTCAGGAGAGCGAAGTGGTGCCTTCCCGCGAGTGTGTGAAGCCGGTGTGGACCTCGAACGAGAAGTGTCGACGGAAGATGACCGAACTCATACAGGAAATCGTCGACGGCGGACTGTTATAGGACGGACGATATTCCTGTTAGAGCTTTAATTATCCTTTAACAATTGATATGAGAAAATTTATGATCAAATTCTAGTTATTAAGTTATTTAGCAATAGTTTATTTAATATGTAAATTGTTGACAAAGTCATAATAAACTCAGTGAAGAATTAAATAGTTAATGTTTTATAGATTGGAAATAATAAGTAAAAACTCAAAAATTTAAGATTTATCGACAGTAAAATATTTAAATTTAATTATTTAATTTTTCTATAAATTATATGCGGGCTAATATACATTAAAAAGATGAAAGCCCTTAAAATAAAAAGAACATTGTATGCACCAAATGAAAAATGATGAAATTATAAGAACAATATGAAAAGTAAATCTGGATAAACCGGAAAGAACAAAAAATGAGTTATAAATTCACGTTATTGATTGGATATTTTCATTTAGCACACCAAAAACCTATAAATATTATGCATACGTATATATTTAAAGATATATGTGTGAAATAAACATATAGCTAATTGCAAAAACATCTAAAATTAAACTTAGAATCGAAGTACTAGAAAAGCATTTTAAATTAAGTAGCCTAGTCACTTTTTGGATCTATATACCGAACTGGACGGTAGGGAAAATATAAAATTATAATGTAAAAATTTGACGTTCATAAGCGGCTAAAATGTCCTACATGAATAAATGATTTTTGAATTTTGAATTTTGAATTTTTTGAATTTTGAGTCTGTGTAAACGAATACCTTTGATATTAGACAAGATTATGGCTATTTGAGGGAGAAGACAAGTTTTAACAAATTACATGTACGTTTGTATGTAATTAGTTATTAAAATAGGACGAAGTAATTTATATGTTTGATAAAAGGCTGTGGCTATACACAGAATAATGATTTTACAATATACTTGAAATAAAAATCAGCTCTCTTACGAATGTAATAAAGTACAATTCGCTTAATGTTTTTGGGAATCCAGCGGATCGTATTAGTACCACTGTTATGGGGCAGCATATGACCAAATATTATAACGTACCGATTTAAATTAAGAGAAATTAAAATGGCCGCGTTGCGGCCAGCACCATTAGTTTAATTTGGCGAGGTAGCATAAGGGATGTTGGGTGATGATGCAACTAGAGGGCCTACCACGAAATGTTTTCCAAAATTTCGGGATCGAACAAAACACAAAGTTGATATTAAAATTACACAATACATACCGTTTAAAAATATTAAAATATCGTTCCTGTGGACTTTAAAGGTGAGATTTAAAATAAACGAAATGTTAAACTCCATTTACTGGACCGATTTCGGTATGAACAAAAACACGAAATTGAGTTCGAAAACTCGGAAAATATTTCATGGTAGATTCTCAAATTAGTTCGACCATTTATCAACATGTGTGAATCGTATGGACTTTACAGGGTCTGTTGCTAGCAATAGGCCCGTTAGTTAGTCATGTTCTTTCCTCAGGACTTACTTCTGCCTGTCTATCCACTGAGGTATAAGGTATAATGATAGATAAGTAAATATTTTACGTACTTTACATAAAACAAAGTAAGTCAAAATTTTAAGAAAAATATATCTACTTATGACAAAATATCTTGGTCCTATCACTATGTTCCTCCCAATGTTGTTATTTGGAAATAAAATAAAAAAAAACTACAAATAAAATGTGTATAAATTTATTGTATTTCGTTTAGTAAATAAACACATACAATAAAACATTGGTGTTAAGACTTATTAATTATTTTCATTAAAATATACATTGTGACAATACAGTTTTTGATCATAGTCATACATACACATACAAATCAGATCAATTGTCCTATGTCTTTGAATTATTAAACTAAAATATAAAAAATATTAATTAGTAGGTAATCTATAAAACTGACAAAACACTGACGTAATTACATTGGGATTCGTTGCAGACTTACATATATAATTTTGTCAGAATGCTTAATTTTAATATCGCATATTTTATAATTTTCTGTCAGATTTAATTAATTAAATCTTGTCCCCGACCCCCTGCTCTTAAAATTGAACAATAATTTATATTTAAAATGTATTTTCATTTAAATAAATAATATAAAATACCCGTTCTAATTGTGGCACATTATTGGGTAATGAAATAATAATAAATTGTAATTATTAAATCTATTTTTATATCAATAATAAGAAAATGTATGGGGATTGAAACTAGCAGATCTAGATTCTAGACGAAATTATACTATTTTGAAACACTAGACATTTGTCAGCATCGAAAGTTGAGTAATTGTTTTTTTTTTTTTTTATATTATACTACTCTGTTGACCATATTTTATTAATAATAAAAACTGACATAATTTTATTTAGAAGGATCGTTAAGTATATATATATATTCATACTAAATAAAATTGTTCAATAAAATTTATGGAATAGAAAGGTAGGTACTAAAATTAGAACTACATCAGTCATTGAAAACTTCAGACTCTTGGTGAGATTCTAGCGCCTAAATTTATCTGAAGATTCCAATAATGTCTAACTGGTTAATATTTTGTTTATTTTATTATTACTAATTGCCCATTGATACATATTGCTTTATTTTTCTGCTGCATTTAAAAAACAAATCTAGTGTCATTCGTTAACAAACGGCTTCTAAACAGACAGAGAAATAGAGGAATATGAAATTAGAATGCATTAAAAAATTTTATAAAAAATTTTGAATTTCTTGGGTTCGTCAAGAGTTATTTATTACTTCTTATAGTTTAAAATCCCATTTGATGTTATTTTATGTAAAATATCCGTTAAGCAAACATCTATCAAAATTTAATAATTTGCATAAACACACCACATTCAAAAATAAAATGTGTGAATTGTGCGACCAAAAACACCGTTCGAAGGCACTTGTTTTAAAAATTTACCGTGACTCTGAGAAATATCATAATTATAGAAAATTACTTTACGTTAGCTTTAACAGTTGGTTGCGGAGTCAGGGTGCCTCTGCCTTTAGAAGCTTGGGTGGGCCTCATGAATCCTGACGTTTTATTTGTAGTCTTTAATGGTGGCCTAGCAGTACCAACTGAGCTACCTGATGAGGATGATCTAGATGCCGGCATCCTCGATATCGGTTTTGGAACCGGTTTGGGTGTAGGCTTCACTGGAGCAGGAGCTTTTTTGACGGTAGCAACAGAAGCAGAACTGTTCAAAGAACTTCTAGAACTACGCAGCGATGCTCTCGATGTTGATCTCTCAACTCTCAACGAACTGGTTCTCTTAGGCACTACGCGTTTCGGGTCTACAGGCGTCCGTGGAGGTGTCCTTGTTTCTTTGGTCGAAATTTTCTTTGGAACGACTGGAGATTTCGTAATTTTTGGGACGGGAGAGTCACATTCTACATTGCACCCAGATGAAGCGCCTTGAGATGCGCTTTCAGAATTCAGACTTTGTGTTTCTTCAAATCCTTCGTCATTTAGCTCATGCTCACTTTTAACTTTGGGAATGCGCGGTGAAGTAGTCCTTTCAGGAGCTCTCTCAATTTTAGCATTCATTGATTTCCTATAAGTATTCCTAGACCATACCCCGGTGGGTGTTTCCGTTGGTGATTTCAACTCTCTTATTGCTTTCTGGACATCTTCTTGATTAATCGATGTCTGCCGCCTCATTCTAGAGTATTGTGGTTTAGTTTCTTTGGTTGGAGTGGTTACTGTACTTTGGTTTTTAAGTCTGTCCTGCCAACGTTTCAACCTGTTTTCTTTCTCGTCTTTTACAACTATTTCTATTGGTTTTGCTACTTCTTGAGGAGCTTCAACGGGATATGAGGCTTGCACTTCAAGTTTTGAGGGTCTTATAACTTGAGTCTCTGCCACTAATTCAGTAGGGCTATCAGGTTTCTTATCCTCTTCTGGGGAACTTGAATCGGCATTTCTTTTATATCTTCTCGTTCTCCTTGCAGCTGAAAACCTGTCGAATTGGCCATCTCCTAAAATCTCTTGACATAAGTCTTTCATTTCGTTTGTTGCTTTGTCGCTTAAATTGAACTTGGATAAAGATGGTTGGAATTTTCGACAAGGTTCTTTCTCTGGTGGAGGATTGAAGAATTTTCTTTGGGCCGGTGGTGTTTCTATATTGTCTGAATCTATCTCCCTATCCGTTCTTTCTATTCTTGTGTCCCTATCACTGGTCACTTTAATATCAGGAAGTTTCCGTTTGTCCTCTTCTGTGATTGATACTAGTGACTGTGACGCTTCTATCTGTTGTCTCGAGCGCTGTCTTCGAAGTCGTCTCATCTCTTCGTTTTCTTCGGTCTTTCTCCACGGAACTCTGTCTTTTTTCGGCGGTTGTACATCTGTAATTACACAATAAAATTGAATTTTAAATGTTTGCACTTGAGAAGCAAAACTCTCTTTCGTCGTTTGACTGTATTATAACAATATATATTATATACAATTTTGTGCATTGTTCTCCCGTCATTTTTTAGTATAAACCTACCATATTCTGTGTTCAATCTCTTTCTTTGCGTATATATGAGTGTTTTTGCTCTTTTAATCCCACCTTTGAAAATAGGAGTTATAAGGATGATCGAGAGTGAAAACTGTATGGATGATGCGGCGAACGTTACCTTCGACGGTCTCGAGCGTGCGCACGACGTCGCTGTCTCGCAGCACGGCGCGCTGCGGCCGCCAGTCGGCGCGCGCCTCGGGCAGCGGGCCCAGCGCGCCGCCGCCGCCGCCGCCGCCGCCGCCACCGCTGCTCTCTGTCGCATACGTATACATATAATTAGAGATGAAATGGATATCCGGTAACTATTCGGTATCCAGCTTATCCGGCGGCCTTAATACTATACAGCCGATTACCGGATAACTACTATTCGGCCGGATAGGCATCTCACCAAACAAAAAATCTTTATAAAAAAAATATTTTTAATTAATTATTTGCTTTATTTAGTTAGTATCATTTAAGAAATATAATTAGTTTTGGTTTTAAATTTTTAATCACACAATAGTAAATGCGTGAATAAATACTAATTTCTCTGCATTGAGAGGTTTCGCTTCTCTTCATAAATAAGGCCAGCTTTAGAAAAAAGTTTTTCGCTGTACACACTGCTGCAAGGTACAGAAAAATAGATTTTGACAAACTTTGGTAAATTTGGGTATTGTTTGGCATTAGCTGCCCACCAAGAATAAGTGTCACGATTGCGATCAATTTGCACTGACATAGCCAGATATCCGGCTATTCGGCCACATGGTTGGCCGAATCCGGTATCTGGCCAAACTGCAATTCGTTTCATCTCTATGTATAATGTATTGTAAACAACCTAATTAATGTCTCACTAATGTCAGTCACTCAGTCTTACCATGCTAGTAAGTGGATCGATATAGGTTTTAACGATTACATTTTAAATTTCTTGCATCAATGTATTATTGCTGCTCCCTTAGTCACCTGTTACTAATCTTAAGTGAGAATAAGTATTATTTATAATATCATTTTTAATTTGTTACCACATCATATAAATACGCAGTCTAACAAAGACAAAAAAGAGAGGTCTTACACAAAATTCTGCACTGTCAACATCGTCTATCCATTTGTCTGTTTATTATTTAAAAATATCTAAAAATATTGATATTAGTCTTCTTTATATATTGTTATTATCATATATTTTGATTAATGTAGCTATTTAAACTAGGTTTGGCAGTTAGTCATCGATTATTCTACAGCACAACTTTTAGCAAGAAAGATAATCTACTAACAGAAAACTACTAAGAACAGAAACAGCTTTGGAATAATGTAGACCACGAAATCGCGAAACTGCGTATGGTCGATAAAAATATGGTTTACATCTCTAACAAAGCTACCATCTTATACTGCTTTACCACCTCAATATTACAATCAGACGCAAGAACAAACACGAACCATGAAGTGAAGTAAGCTATTACCAGTTAATTACACAATTTATTAGACAAAGACACAATTAAATCACGAATCGCCTCACATAAAATACTGCTCTCACCTTTTGCAGAATCAATTCGGTCTCTTTGACTCGGTTCAAAAACCTATGCAGAAATACCGTGTATCCCTTTACCATTTGTGCAAAGAACTCTGAAGTTTGAAGTGAATTTTGAAGAATCATTTGTACTATTGCATCGCTCTTTATTGTCAGGGAATTTACCTTTATACCTTAGAACTTAAATCGCGTATCACAATTTTAAAGAACTTTTCTCTTTCAAACACTTTGTTGGGAAATAATAATCCAGCTAAGAAGCTATAGTACATATATGTCATAAATAGTGTATGTTCTTCACCCTAAATGTTACAAACGGTTGTAAGCAATGATTCAGCTGATTGTTTGCCATCAGACGAACCGCAAGTTTGTTTGCCATATTTCTAATATAAAAAAAGATTGATTTCATCAATAAGGTCTTATTGTAGTCATACCAATTGTTTAGACAAATCCTCCACCAAATTGTTTATAATTACTCCTCTCCATCCAAAGGTTGCCTGGAAGATTAGCGATAAGGTCGCCCATTGTTTTCTCATTGTGATTATTTCTTGTAATTATTTATATTTATAATAAGTTTACTATTGTAATCTCTTGGAGAAAACAATAAAGAGTATCTATTTATCTACAGTTGCAGTTGTGATAACAGCAATGTCGCTATACTAACCGGAGTCGTTTTCCAAGGAGCGCCGGTTGGCTTGTAAGCGGCGCGCGCGCTCTCGTAACTCGGCGTCTCGTTTCTCCTCCTGGCTGTTCTGTCGCAGCCACGACTCGATTTTTTGTCGCCATTCCCTGTAATCATTGTATTGATTAATTAAATAAACATTAGATTTTAGAGAAATACATTTTGTTGTCATTTAGTCCTGGAATAGTATGGGCTACTCCTTTCTTACTTACAGCAGCGTCTCTCTTAAAATCACTAAACCCTAACTGCGGTTGCCAAGCGAGGCATCTACTGGCAAAACCCTCTTTATGGGGTAAGCTATTTCTAACAGCGGACAGGTAACGGCTGAGTATGACGACGAGTAATAGACATATCAGAATGAAACTGTTTGAATTTAGAACGCGAAGTTTGTGTCTATGCGTATATTTTACTTCACATCGAACAATTCTCTGCTCCATGAAAAAGCAAAAACAGAAGTAAACTCTATCGATTATAAATACATATAATTTATCAAAATCTATTCAGAATTAGCGTTTGATATGGTTATAAATCATCATCATTTGCCTAAATCCTAAAGCCTAACTGCAGTTTCCAATCCGCTTGCCAAGCGTGGCAACTACTGGAAAAACCTTCTAAGGACATTTAAAGACTGATATGATGATGGTCATAAAATATAGATTGATAATAAAGAGGAGGACCTTTCAAAAATACCAGATCTACTAATGTTAATGCAACTGGTACCTACTAGTAATATTGAAGGTTTTTAATGGCATATGATTTTCTTACTTTAATAATATATTCATATAAAATTTCATATTTGACAGTGGACAGGGATATAAATGATAACATTTTGATGTATCATCATGATAAAGACTTACTTTGGTTTCGGCGAAGCGGTGTCAAGCTGCGGTGCGTGGGACGCGGGCGTGCGGGGGGAGGGTGCTCGCTCGCGCGCAGCCTCCCGCTCTCGTTCACGTTCGCGTTCGTGTTCGCGCTCAGGGATCTCGAGCTTTGCTCGAACTGGACCGCGTCGAGACCACGAGCGATCTAAAGTCATATAGAGGTGATCTTTAGCAAAAAAATATTCAATAAATTACCGGCTACAAATTAACTGGAAATGAAAACTGTTTATTTTGTAAATAAAATACAAGGTGCGTATGTGTGTGCGTGTGTGCACATGGGCATGCATATATGCGCATGTGTATGTGTGTGTGTGTGTGTGTGTGTGTGCGTGCGTGTGTACGTACGTTCGTGCGTGCGAGTGTGCGTACGAGAGTGCATGAGTACATGCGTGCGAGATGCGTGCGTGTGTGCATGCGTGTGTGTGTGTGTAGGTGCGTGCGCAACAACTACAAGTAAGTGTGGTTACCGAGGCTGCCCCAGGCGCTGCGCTCGCGCATGTCGGCGGCGGGCGCGGAGTGGCGCAGGAACTCGAGCAGCGTGTCGTCGTCGTCGCCCGGGCTCGCGCGGCTGCGGCGCCGCAGGCTGCCCGTCGGCGTCACGTCTGCGCGCGCACACAAACCGAATCAAATTCTAACTATATCTACATATACATACATACATTGCCGTGTGATCCCGGAATAGTACAGGCCACCTCCTTCTTTCACGTGGGTATTGTTAGAGGCGACTAAGTAAACTTAATGTTCATGGGATGACGGCAGTGTACCACTTAAAACATCACCAAAAGTCTAATTGCGATTGCCAACTCGCCTGCTAAACGTGACAACTACTGGCAAAACCCAAGAGGCCTATTTTCAACAGTGGACAGTTATGATGAACAAGATATTTAAGAAAAAATAATAGTCGAAACAATAATTTTTAGAAATTTTGTCTGTCTATTACTCTGTATATTGACTTTCAGTATACCTGGAGACGGTGAAGGATCATGGGACTTCCTCAGCGATCTCCTTCCGAGTCCATTTCTTATGTCCAATAGTAGAGATTCCATCAGCGACTCGCATTCTGAAACTGGCGTGCTGCAAACACTGCTTCCACCTGAACATGGCGGGGGAACGGATTGTTAGTATATGTCCTATTAGGTCGACCTTTACGTGGACCCCGCCTGGAAACAATTGTACTGAATTCTAGACGTATTCATTACGATAGGTTAACTGACCTGTTTTCTCCTTCTTACCACCGTGCTTCACCAGCGTATACCGTTAACCCAGGCGGGGTTACCATTTCATTATCATCTATTTAAAAACATCCTCCCCCCCCCCTCTGAACACGATGATTTCAATTAGTTTTAAAGAGATAAATATAATGACTTAACTAAGTTCATAAGTGAATTATATTTCAAACATGTTTTTAATGTACGGTGCAGGTACAAAAATTTACAGAACATCCAGACTCGAGCCAATTCACAAAAGTCCATTTCCCAGATCGGTCTGACCAAGCCGGGACCTCATTTACGTAAAGTAGTGCTTTGATATAAACGGTAATGTAGTATAATGCTCGCGTACCATGCTTGAGGCGTGCGGCGGCGAGGTCGCGCGCGCGGCGACGCGCCGCCGCCTGTTCCTCGTGCGCGCGGCGCCGCGCGTTGTCGCCCGCCGCCGACCGGAACTTGCCGCAGAACGACGCGAACGTCTGCCGCACACCACACACACGCTTTCACATTACATACAACTATACCACCCTTATAAATACGTCGAAAGAAAAGAAAAAAATAAAACTACGACACGTTCTAGCATCCTTTTAAAACAGCCTTTCCCAAAGTGGGCGATAACGCCCACTTGTGAGCGCTGCAGGCCTAAAGGGGGGCGCTAAGAGATCCAGAAAAAAATGGGGACGTTGGGAGACGATTTGTAATTTGAAGTAATAGTGGTTTTTAAGTAGGTGAAAAAATGAAGAAGCTAAAAAATAAATTATTCTCAAAATTGGCAGTAGACAAAATAAGTTCGGGAACCTCTGTTTTAAAAGAATTTTCTATCTAGGCATGGATAATATCTAAATAAATTTAGATCCACTTATGCTTACTTAAACGCTCAGTAACGGTTATAATAGGTGATAGAATACTATCACCTATAATAAGTTTGGGTCCTAGCATTAAACCTTGAGGAACTCCACTAGAACAAAGTTATATACGACACGGTACTATATCATTTCATACGTGATCATGATTCTCTTACATTTTTTTCCTATTTATTAAACTACATTATATAGTATCTGAAAGGATCGTTATTAAAATAAAAGCTTAAATAAAAGCTTATTATAAATATTAACAGTGGAGATAATTTTTTTATACTAACCTTGAAGCACTCTTCTAGTTTGAAAGATACAGGATCCTCACAGAAGAACTCAGCTAGCTGCTTCCTCATACTTTCTACTTCCTCCATATCTTTATTCAATGCCGACACTTCCTGTTCAGCTACCTGAATATTTGTAATTGCATTAACAATTTCGTAATCGCCATGTTGTAATTTGTTTTTTATGAACCACATGATAAAAAAATGAAGAATTATATTTCTAACAATATTTACCTGCAAGAAATCCCCCATTTGTTCCTTAATATCTTGTTGCGTGGTTGGAAGTTGGATCTCTTTCTTCAACTGCTCGATCCTATTACCCAATGTTTTGATCTCGTTGTACAGTTGCTCCACACTGGCTTTGGCCGCTTCGTCCAAAACTCGTGTGTCATCAGCAAAATGGACTAGTTCTTTGTTTTTGCGTTCCGCTTGCTAAAAGTTGCGGAAATTATGTTGTACTTCAAAAATATGTTGATATAATGAAGAATGTGCACCACAAAAAAAAAAATTACTTTAATTATGTCAAACCCAGTTATATTCATTTAAAAAGTAAACTTTAGTAGTTTAATTTGACTGATTTTGATTAAATATCTATAGGACCAACATATCCTTTCAGAGAAGAAAAAGAATTTTCCAAATCGGTTTACAACTGACGGAGCCACGAGGTAACAAACATAGAAAAAAATATAACCGAATTCAGAAATCCTTTTTTTTAAATCTTTGATTATTAGAAAAACAAATGTACTCTTCAACACAAAAGGTTTTATATGAATTTTATAATAAATACTTGACCGGTTTCGCCATTTTGGACATTTTAAAAGATTATTTACATTAGTTTTTCCAGTGTAATCAATCGTGAGAATTTATTGTAACATCTTTTCTTGTGAAAGAGTACGTTTCTCTAATAATATCAATATGTATACCAAGTTCCACCAAGTGGCAACCATTACGACTATTAAAATATTCAAAATTACAATTTAGAGATTTAAAAATGTTACCAATGCGACTCACCATAGCGACATAGTGCATCAGATTCATTCCAGGCTTGTTTGCTCTAATATCGGATAGTTTTTGTAAGGACGATAACTTCACTCCGGCAGCGCCCCCTGCATATCCTCCAGCATTCAAGAAGTTGCCAGCTATTAGTGCTATGTATAGGATTTCCTGAAATTTATTATGACATTAATTACCTCGAAAGACATTGAGCAAAAGCTTTGAAAATCTATATTTAACAAATGATTTTATTACCAATTAGTTACTCGGTTTAGCTATTTTTTAAATTTCGAAAAATAATATCATTGTACCTGTATAGCTCTAGAAGATATCAGATCATCACCGGCTACTAATATGGCGTTAATAGCACTTTCTAAATAACCAGCGGTCGATGGCCATTCTTCTTTTAGCAGCATACATTCGATACGGAGCTTATAACTAGAAAAATAAATGTATTTAATGACATAAGAACTCCAAAAAACATATACATGGTCTTCTATGAAAATCTATAAAAAAGACTAACTTGGGCAACTGAATAAGTTGCAATAAAAATTTCTCAGCGTTTCCTAATTTGGTCAAATCTCCTGAAAACGCCTTCAGCATTTCACACTCGTCTATTTCAGGCAGGATTTTTAGGAGACCCCTCAATTTTTCAGCACCGATGTCGTCGTGGGATCCTTCGCGTATCAGCTGAATTATGTCTTCGTTGGAACTGAAATTTTAAAAGTAAGACATAATAAATATTCATGAATAACATCAGAATTTTAATGTTAAACTAATGTTGAACTTCTGCCAAACTATTGCAGTTTGTTGGCAAGTATACAGTTAAAGATGGATACAGTTAAAGATAAAGATTACCCAAAAAAGATCTAGTTGAAATTAATTACAAGCTATCATACCTTCGGAATTGTTTTAAGAAAATGTTGACATTCAAACTCCTCTTGCCGTCTAGGAGAGTGATTTCAGAAGATTCCTTCCTTGGCTTCCTCTCTCCGGAGCTGTCACATATAGGGCTCCGGCCGAGACGAGGGGAGGAGCCCGCTGATCCTGTTGGTTGCACCTAAAAAACATTTTGTTTTTGTAACTGAAAATGGTAAACGAGCTGTCCACCCCACACATTATAAAAAGTAATAACTGTCATCACATATTGGCCTAGAGATCAAAGATATTGGTTACATTGTCAAAGAAGACAAATTATTTGGAAGGAAATAATATTGTTCTGCTTGGTCTTATTTTAAGAAGATTTTTATTTTATATTTTTTATCTTATGAGTTCATAAATGTAAGGTGAATAGTACTGAATAATAAAAGCATTTGCTAATAGCTAAATAAATAGTATAAATATGGATGGGCAGAAGCGTCTTTCTTAAAACATCACCAAAGCCTAACTGCAGTTTCCAATCCGCCTGCCAAGCGTAGCGACTAAAAAACTGATAAAACTCCCTTATGTTTAGCAGCGGACAGTTAAAGGCTGATATGATGATGATGGAAAAATATGACAAAATGAGTATCAGTACAAATGCTTTCTAAAATCTTGAAATAAAACAATGTAGGTACGCATATAAATAAAGAGATAAAAGCACTGATTCTAGAGGCTCTGCTTTCCACAAACTTTTGGAACAAATTTCTAGACTGTTCAACGACCTTACGAGAGGTACCTAAAAATTATCATTATACCTGTTGACAGAAGAGTCCTTCAATTTCACTCCAGTCGAGTTCTGTCTTTGGCGAGTGTTTATGACTGGACGCCACTATGGCCCAGATGTTGTTTTGACCGATTACCTGAAAATAAATAATAATAATTTAAAAAACAAACTTTTCGTCTACATTGGCTCGAGTTCAGACGTTCTGGATTGTGTAGTTCCATGAGATCTGTCAGAGACTGAGATGTTCGTTACGTGGTTCCTAAATAACACTATATCCTAGCTTAAGATCCAGGCATTGGTGTAATTGAAGTACTCTTAATAAATGACTGAATGAATGAGTGAATTTTCTCTTTAAAAAAGGTAGTACAAAATAATAACTTGAGGTACAATTAAATATGAAAGACCAATTAATTACTTCTATTATATACTAAATTTTACCCACGACTTCGTCCGCGTGACTGGAATATACTGGCCAGTATAAAGAGTATATACGTACGTGTATACCAAATTTCATAGTGATTGGTTAAATGTAAAAATCGAAAATATCTATAGGACTAATCTGTAAATATATTTTTTTTTAATTTAAATGAAATCCCCAATTGCTCCAGAAGTCTCCGAGTGATTGAGGAACTTACATAAAAAAATTAAAAATCCCAACGAATTGAAAACCTCCTCTTTTTTGAAGTCGGTTAAGAACGGTAACTATACTCTACCAATATTACAATTATGTGTAATTTTATAAAGATATAGTATGTTATGCTCTGACTTAATAGCTATCAATAAAAATACAGGGTGTTGAGACTGGAGATCCTCAAGTTACAAACATCGTCTCTTGTAATGCAAATGTATTAATCAGACAAGCCGTAAGCTTGATTGCCATAATCGTTGTATAAAAAACAACAATAGCAATAACAAATACTGAGTTACAGTAACGGGCTATTGAATGACTCAGTCCATTAAAATATTTATGATTCATTCCCTTGTGTTTCATTCAATCTGCAGTTTGCGGAATGTCCTCTAAAATGGTACGGCATGATACGACAAAATAAAATTTCCATTTGTTACATGCTATAAAACTATTCGAGTCTATTACTCAAATATTATTGACTATAAACATGCGAGCCGCCTAGAAAAATTCATGGAGATATCGATAAAACAATATCGGGTCTTGGTAACGAGGGTTATTGACACTGTTGCTTGGAATCTTGGAATATATCCCATTAGAATGACCTACACATGGACCCATTTCGTCAAGATAGAATAATGATTAACCTGTTTTTATGCTCACCAATAATAGATGATCCCATTGGTACCATACCATTATAAACTAACTGTACAGGTTGGGGGGGGGGGGGGGGGGGTTGTTAATAGTGCGGATTACCAGTCTCATTGTTAGCAATATGCTCAAAAAGGTCGACCTCCACGTGGTCCCCCCTGGAAACCATCGTGCTGAATTTCAAGTGAATTCATCACGATGGGCTAATTGACCTTCTTTTTCATTCTCACCTATATATTGTTATTAATACAGTTATTGGATGGTTGTAACATTCAATTTAATGTAATGCTTTTTGTATGTTTATCCCTTATTTCAGACACAATGTATGTACATTTTTTTTTTTAATAAATGACTAATGACCCTGAGCACAGGCGGGGTTACAATTCCATTATCATCCATTTAAAAAAACCCTTAGAAAAAAAAATAATACACTCACTTTATTATTAGGTATCTTATTCCAATTAATAGTCTTCATTTTGGTTTTCGGTATTGGCGTCTCCTGCTGCGGCAGTTTGATGTCGACGACCGGCGCGGGTGACGGCGGCGCGGGCACCGGCGGCGGCGGCGGCAGCTGCGGCGGCGGCGGAGCGCGCGGCGGCGCCGGCATCATCGGCGCTGGCGGTGGGGGGATAGCTGAAAAAGAAAAGAAAATTCTGTTAAAGAGGAGATCATTGTATATAATAATGCCTTCAGGGCACTGTTGGGGCTACCTAGTCACTGTAGTGCGTCACACATGTTTGCACGAGAGCGTACGGACGATTTTTACGCAATACGGTACAAACGAATTGTTTCGCTGTTGGGTAGGGTGCGTGTTAGCTCAAACAGTGTCCTGAAGATAATTTCTGATAAAATGGACTGTCCCATCCTAAAATATTGGGTGGGACAGGTAATCAATGTAAGAGCGTTATGACCGCTCATTTTTTAACATAGGTTAAGTCAATTCGTAACTAACAAAATGAGCCTTATGGAATTAAATAAATATTATATATATATATATATATATATATATATATATATATATATATATATATATATATATATATATATATGTATTTTATAATTTTACCATGTATTTATCTGTGGACATAGAGAGAAGGGACCAGTTCTCCTTATTGCCAGGTTATTGGTCTTCCTTGAAAACTATCGTGGTTAATTCTTGGTGAATTTATCAGGATTGGCCATAATCATCAGAGGGAGACTTTGTACTAAAGTTGTTTTCTTGGGTTCCTCTATCTCTCTCGTATTTCTATCGTAAAGAAGTTATGCTTGCATGACTGTGTTTCGCTTTGAAGAGTGGGATATGGCAGTAAAGTTACAGGACAGGGTGGCACACCTTAGACCTTAGTCCTCAGGAATAGCAATGAGTAAAGTATATCAAGGGCATCACAGTATACTCTGTGATGTCCATGGAGCTATTCATATCTGTAAGCGACGGTTACCACTTTCCATTAGGTGTGCCATCTGATCGTTCCAACATCATCATCATATCAGCCTTTAACTGTCCACTGCTGAACATCAGCCTTGCCCTTTGGGGTTTTGCCAGTAGTTGCCACGCTCAGCAGGCGGATTAGCAACCACAGTTAGGCTTTAGAGATGTTTTAAGAGAGACGCTGCTGCCCATCTCTCGCCCTCCCTTAGGCGCCTCTTACGATACCCACAAGAAAGGAAAAGGTGGCCAATTATATGCCGGGACTACATGGCCACGGTCTGAATGTCATTCTAAATTGCATGAGAAAAAGGAACTTTAGCTAACTTATCTTATCCCTCTCTCACCTATACCTTATCACCTATGATCCCTGAACAGTACTCAACCAGGCGCATAAATGAAAATAAGATCCTCTTTTTATGAAATCACCTATGTTCACCTATGGATCATTAATGATGATTTACCTGACGGAGGCGCGGGCGCAGGCGCAGGTGGCGGGGGTGGAGGTGGCGGGGACAGCGCTCGCTGGAGACTTTGTTTCCTGCCCGCTGCTGATATATCTCTGTGCTGACATGTACACCCCATTTTAGCCTAAAAAATAAATAAGGTACAAAAACTCAACGCCTGTGTTGAATCCATTGGTTTCATTTTCAAAGGCACAGTAACCAGGTTATTGACGTTAAATCTAAACGTAGTAAGTATAAATTAACATAGTAATTTAAGAGTTTGTTCACCAAAAAATAGAAAACACCGACTTTCAATTGTGGTAACCAGTTATTTTGATTTATATACTAAAGTATTGAACCGATTTTGACAATATTTCCATAGAACCAATCTAAAAGTATAACATTTTAGATAAAAAAAAGAATTTTTTCCCTAATCAGTTTATAAATTACCAGAAAATACCAGAGGGAGACTTTGTACAAAATTCGTTTGCTTGGCTACCTCTGTCACATTTGTGTTTCTACCGTGAAGCAGTTGTGTTTGCATGGCTGTATTTCGGTTTGAAGGGTGGGATATGGCAGTGAATTTACAGGGTACAGAGGAATAATACCTGAGTACTCAGCAATGGCAACGCATGGGTGGTATCATGGACGAAACAGTATACTCTGTTATGTCCATGGTACTGCTCATGTCAATAGGCGACGGTTACCACTTTCTAACAGATGGGCCGTCAGCTTGTTTACCATTCTAAGTTGCATAAAAAAAATTACGAAGTTCTGAGTTCAGACATAAATAAAACCAAATTTAATTCCCGTGCACGTTATAAACCCTGAAGGCACTTAATATGCTTTTTTTGAAGTGCCCTATATTGTAGCTTTTAGGAAAAACATCGGAAGGGAGCTCATTCCACAGTCTGAGCATTTTATCTGTTCTGTTCTGACTGACCATTGCAGTTCTAGTGTGACAATAAACTAACCTGTACACTTGGTGCTCTGAGGAGTTTTGCAGCATCTTCCCTGCTCTCTAACAAGGTAGCTCGATGGACTAGAGTTTCAGCTGTATCCCACACGATATCGCTGACGGGTTCCTTAGGGTCTATGCGGAGAAGATGCTGAAGGATACTCAGGAATGGTATCTCTTGAGGTGTATCTGCCACCTGTAGAAAAAAAGACATTTTATAGCCATAAAACTAGTCTGGTGATGGTGTCAGAAGTTAGTTATACGAACATTTTTATTAGAAATATCAAAATAATATTAAAAATTTCAATTCGCTGTCTCCAAATGGCATCCAATTTCAATTTATAACCCCAATTACTATTTTACCACTGTGTTTGCTTAATGTAAATTTAAAGTATACATTGTGTCCAGTTTTTGTATGTTTTATGCTTTAATTTTTCCTGAAATATTGCATTTGAAGAACGGGTGTATCAACTTGCAAAGTTACCATATTACACTAGGAGAAAACACAACCGAATTTTACTCTAAAATTATATTTTTCTAAAATCATAGTTTTAGGTTTAACGTACAACCAGATTTATGTATATTTTTTTATACCACAAGGTGGCAAACAAGCATACAGCCCGTCTGTTCGTAAACAGTCACTGTAGCCTGTGGACGCCTGCAATATTAGGAGTGTCACGTGCGCGTTGCCGAACCTGAAGAAATCTTAATGAACCCTTTTTGAAGAACCCCATTCTCTAGGTAAAACGTCGGCAGGGAGCTCATTCTACAGCCTGATCGTTCGTGGGTTAAATTTTCTCTGGAGTCACACTGTGCGTGACCATTTAGGTTCAAGCGTGTGAGAATGAATTCCCTGTCGATGGCGAGCGGTAGTGATGATAAAAGTACAGCTGTAGGCATAATATATCCATCATTATTATTAATTGTGTATACCTGTTTGAGTATTGCGTAGAACACATCGAGATGCGAGTTGAGATTGATGCCTCCGGGTCCTTGGGCCTCGTCGCTCTCCCGCTGCTCCTCGAACACATCGAGCTGGACCCCAAGGTCTGGTTGACTAGCTGCTTCATGTCTGAAACACAATTTTTAAACAATTAGTGACGACTTTGGTGGTGTAGTAGCTTATTCCGGTGAGGAAGGGATAGTTAGTAATGCGTAAACCATCTTCCTCCAAACCATCGTGCAGAATTCGACGGGGGATTCAGTCGGAGTTTTTTTTAATGAATGATAATGAAATGGTAACCCTGCCTGCGCTAACGACATACACTAGCGGGGTACTATGGTAATTAGGGATGATAGGTGAGGATGAAAAGACAGGTCGGTTAGCCTAACGTGACGAATACACCTGGAATTCAGCACGATGGTTTCCAGAGGGGACCACGGGGAGGTCGACCTGATAGGGTATATTGCTAGCAATGGGATCGATAGTCCCTTTCTCCCCCATTCAGGTGGGGTTACCATTACATTATTATCCATTAAAAAAACATTAGCTAGTGAAGTTACTATATAGATTGCTACTATTTATTAAATAGGTGGGTGGTACTTAAACGAATACCTAATTAATCTCGTTGTAGGCAGTTATAAACATATCTACATATAGTCATCGGCTGACCGTTGATTTGTCATCAACAAAAAAGAAGTTTGACCATAACTATCAGTATGATTATTGATGTATAATTAGTTTCATTTCGAACAAGAAATATTATAATTATTAAGCAATGTTGTTTTATAAAAAAAAAAAGGACATGATCTGGAATCTTAAATATTGGACGCCAGACTGTAAGTATAAATTAACGAATTTCAAAAATAAGATACACTGTGTTTTTACGTGTATTAGGTAAGAGGTAGAGAGGAGGTAGAATTTAATTTGTTTTTTTTATGATGGTGCCCTTTCTCTTGTATTCTTCTATAGGAATTTTTAAATAGAAAATAAAATATATATAAAAATACAGTTTACATTCACGGAGTATTCAAGCAGTTGATATTTTATAGGCATGGATAATATGAATCTGATATATATATATATTGAGTTTCTCTGGTTCTGGAATAGATCAGCACACATTGCGATATCGACCATATCGATAGGATATCTCTATTTTCGAATACATTAAAAGTCTGTTATCATAATATCGATTAAAATATATATATAAAAAAAAAATGTTAAAATATCATTCCTCTGGACTTTTATGGTAGAATTTATGGCGAACGACTTATTAAGCACCATTTAGTGGGTAGATTTTAGTATAAACAAAAAGATGAAACTGAGTTCGGAATTTATTTTATGGTAGAACCCCAGCATACGGCCCGTCTCGTAGTAAACGGTTACTGTACCCTATGAACGCAAAACCAGGCCCTCTAGACAAGTGGCAAGCGAATTCGTCGATGGAATCGACATCGCTGGCGAGTCCGTGAGTTGGAATGAGATAGCAACGCCGGAATACTCATTCCAACTCACGGAATGCCACTTGTCTAGAGGCCCAGGGCTGTCGATTGTGTATTGCCAACCCTTCAAACCTTAATACACCCTTTTTATTATACTTTTTATTATTCCACGCTGCATTATCTTTATAATAATCAAAACGGGTGGCGACTATAGTCTGTGGCTGTATAATCAAATAATCCGTGTGTACTATTTTACACAACGTGGGGATTATTCAAAAGTGGTTACTAATACAGTTGCCGTGTTTGGCAAGATCGTGTGCGGCCACGCATGTCCAGTCACCTTTTGTTTACGTTTCAGATAAAACGTTAGAGGGATAACTAATTCGTTTAAAATTTTATAAAGATCAGTAAATTACGATTTTAAAGATGTAAAACATGCTTTTTGATTTTTTAATGAAGTGTCTTGTACCCTGGTTTTCCTAAGAGACTACAGCATGGGGTTTTTCAAAAGGGGGGTAAAGAGGTTTTTTCAGGGTCGGCAACGCGCGCGTAATGCCTCTGGTATTGCAGGCGTTCATAGGCTACGGTAACCACTTACCATCAGGTGGGCCGTATGCTTGTTTGCCACCTCAGTGGTATAAAAAAATCTCTAAATAAATTTATTACACAATAAATATAAATAATAATAATGCAATAATGCATGTAAGTCATGTGGTCCTGGCATGGATTGGGCCACCCCTTCCTTTCTTGGTGGTCGCCACGCTTGGCAGACGGGTTGGCAACCGCAGTTAGGCTTTAGAAATATTTTAAGAGGAACGCTGCTGCCCATCCCTCGTCCTCCCTTAGTTGGCCCTTACGACTTGTTTTGATGTGAAGGACGCTGCTGCCTGTCACTTGACCAATTAGTTTCCTTAATTGCTCCTTACAATACTCTTGGAAAAGGAAGAGATGATCCATTCTACGATGTAACCCCTCAGCGATGCACAAGACAAGTTAGGGGGTAACAAATATACATCTGAATTTAGAAACTCCTTTTTAAAATCGGTTGAAAATAAAAGAAATTTTCATTTCGAATTTTTTTTTTTTTATACTACTTAGAATGACAAAAAAGCTGACGGCCCACCTGATGAAAAGTGGTAACCGTCGCCTATAGACATGAGCAGTATCGTGGACATAACAGAGTATACTGTTTCACCCATGATACCCCCCATGCGTTGCCATTCCTGAGGACTCAGGTGTTATTCCTCTGTACCCAGTGAATTCACGCCATATCCCACCCTTCAAACCGAAACACAGCCATGCAAACACAACTGCTTCACGGTTGAAACACGAATGGGACAGAGGTACCCAAGCAATCGACTTTTGTACAAAGTCTCGCTCTGGTGTAAAATTAAGTAAATTAGACAAATAAATACTTGGTCGTAGACACAATTTTATCTGCATGATTATCGGATTACGACAGTTCCTTGGAGCGTGACGCGCAAAAACATATTGGGTGACAAAAAACTCAGTAACGCGTACCTACCTATTCGATTGTTTTTATTGAATCAATGGCGGCTTGTCTATGACTTGTCTTGATTTGCTATGGATTTCTGGTAACGCTGAACTGATTCGTTACACGCTTTAAAATTAATCGACAATTTTTTTTTATTGATTTATTTTTAAATTCGTCCGTATTGAAATTCTAGCAACGATTAACGTTTTAGATAGGCGGATGGTTTTAGTTTGTTATTAAAGGACTTTTAAATTAAACATTCAGAAATATTCAGTCGTTGAATGAATGAATGGTAACTTTGTTTGCTTGAATACAAATAGGTCATTACATGGAAACTATTTAATGTTAAAGAAGAAACTTATTGCATTCAACCGTGTGGCGTGATTTATTTGAAACTTGTTCTTATAATTTTACATTTAAAATAAAAACATCTCTCAATAAGCCAATTGTAAAGTTTTTCATAAAATTTTTTGTCTGTCAGATCTCTGTATTCTGTTGGTAATTTATTATATATTTTTACTGTCATGTACAATTCTTGTAATACAATGCCAATCTATGCTTATTTGTTATTGAAAAACAACACACAATGCAGACACATAACCGTCTATTATTGGGGGGAAGGGATTATTAATTAAAGGGTCTAACTGGCCCCATTGCTAGCAATATACCCTATCAGGTCGACCTCCATGCTGTTCCCCCTGGAAACCACTGTGATTAAGTCTTGTTAAATTCATCACAATGAGTAAATTAAGTACAACTTAAAAAAACAAACTTACCTTAAATTATTTAGAGTTGGGAGAAGACCAAGACCTGCAAATAATGGTATTTATTATTATATTTAAGTAGTATTCAGGTTTAATAAAATGGATATTGTTGCATGGGATACTGTACGCCAATTGAAATTTTTACATCCAAGCATGCATGGTCGTGTTTCGGTTTAAAGAGTAAAATCATCATGTCAGCCTTTAACTGTCCACTGCTGAACTTAAGCCTCCCCTTTGGGAAGTTTTGCCAAGGAGTTCTCACGCTTGGCAGGCAGATTTGCAAGCTTTGGAGATGATTTGAGAATCCGTTAGTTGCCTATTACGACACCCACGGGAAAGGAAGCGGTGCCCTGAAATTACAGTGTACTTTAGTATTCTAAAATGGTAATACATAAGGTGGGCAACACGGTGTATTTTATGTCCATGGTACCGACCATGTCTAAAAGTGACCGTTACCACTTTCCATCAGGTGGGCCGTCAGCTTGTTTGCCATTTTAAGTTATATACATAACCATCTTACCGATAAACTCGTTCCTGACCCTGATCCTGTCAGGTAATCTCGGCGCTGAGATGATGAGGCAGTTGATGAACGCCACCAGCGCCGTCTTGTAGTCAGTGGTGGAGGCATTCTTAAGCTCCTCCACCACCACATTCAAGCGGTACCTCTCATTTTTTAGGGTCTGTAAGAAAAAGAAAAACGTGGTTTAAATTTTAAGTTAAATTTTAATTTTAAATCTTAAGTTTAATTTAAAATCTTAAGTTAAATTTTAATTTTAAATTCTAAGTTTAATTTTAAATTTTAAGTTTAAATTTAAATTTTAAGTTTAATTTTAAAGTTTAATTTTAAATTTTAAGTTTAATTTTAAAGTTTAATTTTAAATTTTAAGTTTAATTTTAAATTTTAAGTTCAAAAGGTAATTTAAATTTTTAATGAACATAAATGGAATAGTTACTCCGTCTGCGCTAACAGTATACGCTGGCGGGATACCAATGAGTGATGATAGACGAGAATGAAGTCAAATCAGTTGATCTACACTAACAGATCCAATGGGAATTAACCACGATAATTTCTAGATAGGAATGTACCGAACTCGACCTGGCATACCCTGACAGGGTAATTGAGGGGGGAAAGGGATTGTTAGCAATGGACGGCCCCATTGCTAGCAATATGTCCTATTAGGTCGACCACCACGTGGTTCCCCCTGGAAACCATCGTGAACAATTCTTGTTGAAATAGTTACGATAGGCCAACTGGCCTGCTTCCTCCTCACCTATCATCCTTCACTGGTTACCATTCGATTATCACCCATTAAAATAAAGACAGGGTAAATGAAAAAGTTAATAAAAAAAGTCTCCGCGGACAATTGGCCTTACAGAGACTTATTTTAGTCCTTCTTTATTTAAATGTAAGCTCATTTACATTTATAAACACAAAACTTAGGGAAAGTTACTTAGTTAATTTCATAATACTGTAGCTTGATTTGGATTTTTATTGCCTTTCTATTAAACCTTATTTGTAATAAGTTTCAGCTAGAACTAGTGTTATGTGTTGTACATATAATGACGAGTCGGCCTGACTCGAATACTGACTCGATCACCAAATAGATTCTCAGATACACAATACACAGAACTCGGATACACGATATTCGAATACAGGTTTCGACTTGCTGTATTCGAATACTACTCACCTATTTATTATTTTACGCTCTTAATAGTAAGAATAATTTAAAAACGAGTACAGTCGGTGAATAATTTCATTTCATCCAGAAATCTTTGTAACAAAATTTATTACTTTAAATACCTTTTTGTTTTTAATAATTCTTTTGCAACTGATTTTTTTGCGTCGTGAAGGTATAAATAAATATATTTCTGAATCATATATATATATATATATATATATATATATATATATATATATATATATATATATATATATATATATATAATACAATTATCTTTCCCCTCTCACCGTACTGGTTACGCTTCAAACTCTTTTCTCCTACATTCTTCACGACTCTGGAACGCGCTTCCTGATGCCATTAAGAGACTACCGACTAAACCGTCTATCAAAAAAAGCGTTCACGCTCACTTTTTATTTTTATCCGAGCAATAAGTGCTTTATATTATTCTCAATTTCGTGTATAATATAGTATATGTCATATATGTGTAAGTATATTTGTTATTTATATATATTTATTCGTTTATATATGTAATTTTAGTATGTATGTATATCAATAATTAGTAGTACCGCATTCTGACACTTCCCTATATATATATATAATTTATTTATTATATATATTTAATTCGCAATACCAAACTAATTAAATGACTGCACATCAATTATTTTTATTAAAAGTAAACTTCTAAAATTAATTAAAAATTATTCGAGTCCGAGAAAGTACTCGAAAACTCATACAAATAAGTCGAGTACTTGTCTAAGTGCTCAGACTCGAGTCGAGATTCGATTTTCTCACAAATACCTACTCGAATACCGTAAAAGACCGACTCGGCACATCACCAACTAGAACTATAACTATAAAACAAGAAAAGACCTTCCGGATCTTCGTAATTAAGAAGTATAACGCCAACACTCGCCTGCCCTTATAAAGAGTCGATTAGAAACGCGACTGCTGTATTCGAGTTGCGTGTATCAATAATCAATGATACGAATTTGATCCGATCGATTTCTCGTTTTATTGTTTTTTGCCAATAAGCATTATTAGGGTAATGATTTTTTTGCATATCCGTCTTTTAATGGACTGTATCATGTTTTTCTCTTATATGGCATTGAAAAGTTTCATGTATTTTTTTTAATGGGTGATAATGGTATGGTAACTCCGCCTACGCTATCGGTATACACCGGCGGGGTACCAGTGAGAGATGATAGGTGAGGATGAAGCAGGTCAGTTAGCCCATTGTGATGAATTCAAAAAGAATTGTTCACAATGGTTTCCAGGGGGAACCACGTGGAGGTCGACCTAATGGGATGTATTGCTAGCAATGGGGCTGTCAAACTCCATTGCTAATAATCCCTTTACCCACAATTTCATATATTCGATACAATTATGTTAAATAATGTAAATAAAGGTATCTAGTTAAAGAAAGCAATGAAGCTTGCCAAATAATATTAAGTCGTTCTCATCATCATCATCCCAGTCATCACCTGTCCACTGAGTCCATAAGAGCGGCTTTGCCAGTAATTGCCACGCTTAGCAGGCGGATTGGCAGCCATAGTTTGTCTTTTGGTGAAATTTAATATACTGTGCTGCCCATCCCTCGACCGGTAAATTTCTATAATCGCTTCTTACGACACCCAGAGGACATGAAGAGGCGGCCCATTCTATGCCAGGACTATACGGCATTTTAACACGGTCACATAGCTCAAAGAACCGAAAACCGATGGGGAAGAAAGGTTTTAAGTAACAACCCCATATGAGCAAATGCAGTGTAGGACCTCCACACTAGATGCAGTGACTACCTCAAATTAAATCGTTCTACATGTAATAAATTTATCCATTCTAACAAACGACAAATGGCTAGCAAATGAAGTTTACAATAGATACGTCATCGCTACTACATTCATCAAATAAAACGAGACGGCGTTTTTTTTTTTGATGGGTGAAAATGGTATGGTAACCCCGCCTGTGCTAAGGGGATACGCTGGCGGAGCACCAGTGAAGGGTGATAGATGAGAATTAAAACAGGCCAGTTAGACCATCATGATGAATTCATCAGGAATTCACCATGATAGTTTCCAGGGAGAACCGCGAGGAGGTCGACCTGGTTGGGTATATTGCTAGCAATAGGATTCTCAGTCTCCATTACTAACAATCCCTCTCCCCCTAACGAGACAGCGTTATACGCGATACGGCGTCTCGTTTATCGCATCCATCGATATGTATGCCGTTGTCTTGTACGCAGGCTTTATAAGAAAGATATCTCAAAATATACTCACTTTATAGCGGTCAAGTGTGTCCACGGCTCTCGCGTATCCATCAGCGTTGTACACGCACAACGCTGATAGGAGCTCGAATACCTGGAAATATATATACATTTATCATTACATATATAAAACAACGTTAGCATTTAAAAAAATATAACTAATAACTCGAACTCTAATTTTTTTTTACTTTTTTTTTATACAACTTAGAATGGCAAACAAGCTGACGGCCCATCTGTTAAAGTGGTAACAGTCGCCTATAGTAAATTCACGCCATATCCCACCCTTCAAACTGAAACACAGCAAAATTACTGGGTACAGAGGAATAACATCTGAGTCCTCAGGAATGGCAACGTATGGGGGGTATCGTGGGTGAAACAGTATACTCTGTTATGTCCATGGTACTGCTCATGTCAATAGGCGACGGTTACCACTTTCCATCAGGTGGGCCGTCAGCTTGTTTGCTATTCTATGTTGTATAAAAAAAAAAAAGAAAATTACTTCAAATTAATTAATTATTGTGATCTATATTAGCGGAGATTAAACGTAAATTCTAAACGAGCCTCTACACAACGCCCCCATTTTTTTTTCTGGGTCTCTTACCGCCCCCCTTTATGTCTGCAGCGCCCACAAGGAGGCGTTATCGCCCACTTTGGAAAAGGCTGGTCTAGTCTAGAGAACTTACCTGTTTCTTGACTGGCGCCGCCGGGGACGTGAGGGCGGCTGCCAACTTCCCCGCGTATTCTGCATGTTCCACTATGTAATCAAGCCCCACTCGGCTCTCCATGGCCACACTGAAACAATGACATAAATTCTATTACTACTTCTAGTCGTGTGAAGATATCACCCCTAGCTTAAAGTGTTGGGGGGAAGGGATTGTTAGCAATGGAGTTTGACAGCATCATTGCTAGCAATATCAGGTCCTATCACGTCGACCTCCGCGTGGTTCCCCCTGGAAACCATTGTGAATAATTCTCGTTGAATTCGTCACGATGGGCTAACTGACCTGTTTCATCCTTATCTATCATCCTTCACTGGTGCCCTATCAGCGTATACCGATAGCGCGGGTGGGGTAACTATTTCATTATCACCTATAAGAAAAAAAGCTTAAAGAGTTTATAGGCTTTTCTTGGTAAACGTGACTTACAATATGACGACCAAGTTCTATTAACTTCTTTTTTTGTTAAACGTAACTTAGAATGGTAAACAAGCTAAACAAAAGTGATAGAAAGTGGTGACCATCACCTATAGACACGAGCACCCCAAGAATCTCACGGAATACACTGTAATATCCATGACACCGCTCATGCGTTATCATTCCTGAGGACTACGGTGTTTTTTTAATGGGTGATAATGGTATGGTAACCCCGTCTGCGCTATCGGTATACACTGGCGGGGCACCAGTGACAGATGATTGATGAGGATGAAAGCAGTTCAGTTAGCTCATCATGACGAATTCAACTAGAATTAGCCACGATGGTTTCCAGGGGGAGCCACGTGGAGGTCAATCTGACAAGGTGTATTGCTAGTAAATGCTAATTGACCTCATTACTAACAATCCCTTTCCCCCCAGGACTATGGTGTTATGGCTCTGTACCCTGTAATTTTACTGTCACATCCCAATAGATAAGCAAGCTGAAATGGCAATGGGCTGGTCACAAAGCTCGAAGATCTGACAACCGATAGGGAAGAAAAGATCTTGAGTGGCGACTCCATACGGGCAATCGTAGTGTGGACGGCCCACCTCATCGTAGACCTTATTGCACAATAGTTACTAGTACTTGTAAAGTTTGATTTGATTTTTATGCAACTTAGAATGGCAAATAAGCAGACGACCTGTTGAAAGCGGCAACCGTCGCCTTTAGACATGAACAGTACGATGCATATAATAGTGTATACTGTTTTGCCCATGATACCCCCCATGCGTTGCCATTTCTGAGGACTCATGTGTTATACCTCTGTACCCTGTAAATTCACTGCCATATCCCACCCTTCAAACCGAAACACAGCCATGCAAATGCAACTGCGTTATGGCAGAAACACGAATGGGATAGAGTTGGCTACCTCTAGACGAAGAAGGATATAGTTTATTCTTTATTCCGGTCAATGAAAAATATCCCGGATACACGGACGAAGTAGCGGGTGAAAGCTATATTTAAATAGATTAAGAGCATTTTTATTACACATATAAAAACCATATTTTTTTTTTTGTATACAATCTAACGAATGCTTTTAGTAAATTTATCTTTATGTAAAAATAACCGGTCCATGATCTTTGGTTTTTATTCAAATGTGATATTTATTATCAATTAAATAGTTTATGGCGTCCTTTCGAATCGTAATGTCTTGTTTAAAACTCCAGTTTTTTTTTACTATTCGGAGCTAAGATGGTACCAGTGAATTAAAACTTGATTAAATAACTATTTTTTGCCATTAAATTTAGTTCATTTACATTTTATTTATGGAAGCATAGCTTAGTAAGAATTAATGATATACTTGTATAATTTAGAGATGCTATTTAGAAAATACTAAGAATTCATTACTGAAATATCGACATATACCAGAGGAAGACTTTGTACAAAAGTCGATTGCTTGGCTACCTCTGTCCCACTCGTGTTTCAACTGTGAAGCAGTTGTGTTTGCATGGCTGTGTTTCGGTTTGAAGGGTGGGATATGGTGTGAACTTACTGGGTACAGAGGAATAACACCTGAGTCCTCAGGAATGGCAACGCATTGGGAGTAACATGGGCGAAACAGTATACTCTGTTATGTCCATGGTACTGCTCATGTCTATAGGCGACGGTTACCACTTTCCATCAGGTGGGCCGTCAGCTTGTTTGCCATTCTAAGTTGTATAAAAAAAGTAATAATAATGTTGACATTAATGACACCTGTTCGCAAACCAGTCGGTGATGATTTGTCAAATTATTGATAATATCAGCTAGTCATTCATCACGAATTGTGATTGGACCGGTCCTGCGTGTTTTATAACGAAACTGTATTTGTTTTGCTGAAACTATATTTCGTAGAAAAACAATTATAAATATTTAATATTATTTCCAGGTATACTATAAGCGGTGAAGCTCCGTTCAATTTGTATGCAAAGCCGGTAGCCGCATCATCGGATGTATGATGCAATGCACAGTGGTATTTTTATTTTATTAAAAAAAAAAACTATAGGATTAATCTGTAAATTAATCTGTCCTTTTAGATAAAGAAGAATTTTCCAAATCGATTTATAGCTCACTCACAGTATAATAAAAAAAAAACGTCGAAAAAAACAGAATTGTGAACCTGCTTTTTTTTAAGTCGGTTGAAAATTGACTTTGACGACATACCTTTACTCGTATGTTGTCTAAGTCTAAGAACAAGGAATTACATAGAAGGAATGATAAAATAAAAACTCCAAATCATATGGTTGTCTCCTTTCTTTTTATGCAAATATAATTAGTAAAAAGAGGACGAAAGATACACTATCAGTTGTTATTTTTCTCAATTCATAGCAGGTTAGTGTATAGAAAAGTTATACGGCCGTATAACCCTACCAAATTCAAATACAACCTGCTCGCATACTTTCTATATAAACTGTGTTGAATATATAATCTAGCAATGTAAAATTTGTTATTGACAAATAATTGGCATATCAATATGAACAAAAATTTTACATACACATTTTCTGTACACTAGCCTGCTATGAATTGAGAAAAATAGCAACTGATGGTGTATCTTTCGTCCTCTTTTTACTAATTATATTTCCATAAGAAGAAAGGAGGCAACCATATGATTTACAGTTTTCATTTTATCATTCCTTGTTCTTAGATCTATTTGTTAATTCATGGCATAAAAAAATTAATACGATTAATCCCATAAAAAAAAATTGAAACCTCTTCATGGAAATCGGTTAAAAATCGACTGTATAAATAGACAATAAGTACAGTGAGACAAGGGAGCCAGTGGATCGTACCAATATGCTTGATAAGATCTAAACAGTTAGCCTTGACTCACTAAGGGACTGGCCGTTGTAGGCTGCGTTCGAGATACTACCTAGTAAGTAAACCCATGTACGATGAATAAGAAATTATTTATTTGTTTATTTTTATTTAACTTTATCGCACCAACATAACAGGATTTGTTGAACAATTTTCAATACGTATAGTGTAGTACAAAAGGCGGTCTTATTGCTAAGCAATCTCTTCCAGACAACCTTTGGGTGGAAAGAATTAAAGCATAAGTAGGTAGGTGGCACGTTAGAAGAGATAGATCTGTAAAAAAAAAATATTTGTGACAGCATAGTCATATACACATACATAAATAAACACATACATCCAAATATATATATATATATATATATATATATATATATATATATATATATATATATATATATATATATATATATATATATATATATATATATATATATACACATATATACATATACATATACATATATATATATACACATACACATATACATACATATATACGCATAAATATATACAAATATACAACACTAACATATATATAACACATACACACACACACAAATTAGTCAATGAAGTACTTAAATTAATTTCACAATGTCCTACTTATATATTTATTTTTTCACTTATTTCTGGTTATAATATTGTCTAGTTTCAATTTTCAATCGACAAAAAAAGAAGATTTTTCAAGTAGTAGTTTAGCAGCAGTCAAACAGGAATCAACGTATCTACCGCTGCATATAAAAAGTAAAAATACAACTTAAGTGTCCATAAATCTGTAAGGTCAAAAAATACGACCGACTTAGATGCTGATGTTCACGAGAAATAAAACTGACGCGCAAAAACTTAAGTTGTACATAAATTAATATTATATTAATTATGAAATTGATCTCGAATCGTGACGATATTGGTCCTGTTTGTATTATTTGTGAGTTACCATATGTTTGCCCCGCGGCCCTGTGCGCTTATAATTTATACTGTTATTGAACTTAAGCGTCTATTTAATAAGAAATTCTTAATTTAAGTTTGGTAAGTTATAAATTTTTATTTATTGTATTAATAAATTCAAATTCACGAGTATTTTAATCGAATTTTTTTGTCATCACAAACTTGTTGGAGGCATTCCAAATGAAAACATTTTGACAAGTTTACTTCCATGTTAGTTTAATGATACCACTGTCTTTCATTGCGGAGCAAAATAATTTTTTTTATTTTTATTCATATCTATGATATATGATGTTAATAGTTAAATATAATTAATATGCATAATACAGGTACAACATGGACTACTATCGCTTACTTTTGCCACGTCCATGGAGAATTCTCGGACTAAGGAGCTTCTAAAAATAAAACTGTAGTACATTATAAAGGTGACTCTTTTCATATTTTTTCATAACAGCCTTTAACTGTCCACTGCTGAACATAAGCCTCCCCCTTGGGGGGTTTTGCAAGTAGTTACCACACTTTGCAGGCGGATTGGCAACCGCAGTTAGACTTTAGAGAGGTTTTAAGAGGCCATCCCTCGCCCTCCTTAGTCGCCTCTTACGACACCCACGGGAAAGAAAAGGGAGGCCTATTCTATGCTGGGATTACACGGCGATATCTATACATATGTCAACATATTTATTTTAATGTGGATATATTGAATGTTAATAAGAATTCGACATTTTTTTTTTATGCAACTTAAAACGGCAAACGACTGAAGGAAAGTGATAACTGTTGCCTATAGACATGAGCTGTATCATGGACATAACAGAGTATACTGTTACGCCCATGATACCCCCCATGCGTTGCCATTCCTGAGGACTCAG